AGCACTTGTATGAATATATATGGAAAGAGAATATTCTTTTTATTTTTAAAAATAGGGTAAAATCGAATGCCACGCCTATAAAAATTGTATAAAACTATGGTTGGATCCGTTGCTGATAAACTGCTATAATCTATTTTGACTACAGGTTTGTTGCAAAAATAGATGCTAACGATAGGCGCGGGTATGGCAGTTTGTTTTTGTTGTAATTTATTTGGTATAGTTATTGATGATGATGATGCTAATGATGATGATGATGATGATGGCGGTATTGTTGCTGTTGTCGTCGTGGTTGCATTTGTAAGAGTATTTTGACGATTGTTGCTATTCGATGAAAGCGAATGTGACTGATGTTTGAGACATTGCGTTTTTAGTTACAGTGGTGGGTTTAAAACAGAAAGTAAAAAATATAAAAAGCAAATATGAAAGTACAGCTCGATGTTGAAAATTAAAATATATTTAATAAAAAGAAACTCGAAGCAGTTAAAGTAATTTTCAAAATAATTACGAGATTCTTATATTAATTATCTTAATTTTTGGGAGGGATAAAAACAGTTTGTCGAGAGTGAAAGGGATTAATAAATAGATAATAATTTATGTTCAGGCAAAGAGAGAGATGCTCTTACTGAGACGTGATGTAGAAACACCCAAGAAAGAAAATAATGAACGAAATAATACAATTTCGCGTGCAAATACAATTTCTCTCCCATCAAAAGATTTCTCCAGTTTCAATTTCTCTTCCAAAAAAGATTTACTCTTTGACTTCTGCGAAAGCGGTCACAATTGTTCAAGTATTTGTATAAAAATTGCGAGCATCTGAGAATAAGCGTATAAAAATTTCGCGCCAACTGAAAATGATTCTCAAATATATCAAGTTCGGTTCGTTTGTTGACAGCGTTACCATCCTTGCAAATTAGGCCATATTCACTAAGCCAATCGCATTTTCAATATATAAATAATATTATAGTATATAATATATAGTATATAATAATATATAATAATAGTCAGACGCTTATTCTCACATTTTTCGAATTATTGAGAATATAATACGCTTATTCTCGTACATGGCCAATTTTTATACAAATACATGTTCAAGTATTGAGAATTGTAAACAAATGTGGACGCTTATTCTCAGATGTTTGGAATTTTTATGCAAATTATTGAGAATAAGAAATGCTTATTCTCAGATGCAGGCGTGTTCAAGTATTGAGATACATAAAACGGATTATTCTGGTTTTTTTTCCGTATTCAGCAGTTAACCGGTCTATTTAAAATTTAATAATGTTGTTCACGATGAGAAAATGAGAATAACAAAAAGTAGTCGTTAGATACACAAATCTGTAAAAACGGCTATATAAAAATTATATAAATAACTAAAACGTCCGAAACATTCTGCTACATACGGCCCCTAATGTGTTTGTCTAAAATATTTCATATAAATTCAAACATTTCTAGGGCATAATGTTAATATCTTCTGTCTTAATATAGGAATTTTCAACCCCATATAGTGATTATTCTGAATTGGTCAGCTTTAGTGTTACAATTTACACAATTTATAATGGTTAGTTTTTGAATATCCTCTAGGTTGTGGCCCGGAGGCTGCTGCTTTGAAGCAATGGGGTGAAAAGCGCCAGATTTTTGTTCATTGCGAAATAGAATGTCCTATTTGCTTATATTACCAGAAAAGTTCGATTTAATATTTCATGCATTATTTGGCTGATGATGGGCCATGCCCTCCCAAAGTTATAGGTTATAAAATTTTCATTTTTATAAGTTTTAATTTAACTCGCTTCCCTGACAAGGAAAGTTGCAACCGATGGCAATGCAACGTGGGAGGAAAAATTTTAATCTATATTCGAAATGGCGGCTGTTAGCATGTAGGAGAGTGAGACACAAGAATCTAAATATGTTACTTCGAAATTACGTAAGGTGAAATCCTCTTGATATGGGTTTGAAGTAAGAGGGAATGCAAGCAACTGAAAAATTTGATAGCAGTTTTTGCTTAAGCGAACTAGAGGTGGAAAATACATTTTATCTCAGCCACTTTTATGTGATTGTACATAGAAGCTTGGGGCGTTTAGAAAAACCGATTTCGTCCACAATAAAATCTTGCATATCCAAGTATGGATGTGCCCGTAACAATACTTGACATTAACTTAGTTGTACTAGGATAAGAAATAGTGTAGATTAATATTATCCAAGATAAGTAGTGCAGATTTCTACGTCTCAAACCTTATTTCCTTGGAATTTTCACCGTAGACTAGACGTGCATTTATTCTGTTCTTTCAATTTACAATGAATTATAAATCCTGCGAATTTCAGATTTCCATTGTAACCAAGTAACTCGTAGAAAGAGAGTGAGAATGCAATTTCACTGAACCTGAGACATCATTCTAACTTCATGGGATGAAATACGGATGCCTCCATTATTATCGAACCCATATAATTTTTAGATAATACTACCAACCCTCAAAAGCAACACGTCAAAATTTCCTGACCATTAGTTTACAAATTACAATTGTTTTTCTTTGGGAAATTAAGAAATGGAAAATTGTGAAATTCGTGTGTAACGTCACTAAACCAACTATAACTGTCACCTTATATAATGAATGCATATATTCTACTTTGAATTTTCAAAATATATTTAGGTATGCACAATTCTCCTATATTCATTGTAACATTTAAAAATGCAATTAATTTCTTCGCAGTTTGGGTATTTTCACTGCTTGTTCACTAATCTATTTGGAAAAATATGCTTTACGTACATCGGATTTGGTATGTGAGCTATAGTGAACTTCATATGACAAAAAGGTCAAATAAAATAAACTTTTCGAAATTTCACTATCCTATATTTTTCGATCCTACCCTATACATAAATTTGGAGGAAAATTGATTCTTTGTAGGACAGAAAAGTCAACATTTTAATATGTTATGATGAAACTTAACCGACAATAGTAATTTAAGAGAAATAAATTACCGTATTTGGATCCTACCCTATATAAGGATTTTTATAAAAATTTGTCTTAATATGTTATGACCAAAGTCGTGGTTTTAATATTTTATGATGAAAATTTATCCACAAAAAAAAATTTATGTTCGGTCGGGAACGAATCTTTTAAAGCCACCACCGTTATTCCAAAAACGACAAAAAAATAAAAGAACTAAATTTTCATGCTCTGCAATACGGTGTGGGCGCGGCTGTTTTTTTTCTATTTTCAAAATAAAAGTTTTTGTGTAATTTTTAATATTTTGTGATAGAGATAACCCCTTAGTAAATTAACAGTAGGAACTTTGAATCGCATAGTCTATCGTGAAAACAAATCTTTCTACATCGGCAGAGGCTAACTTATAAAACCTAACATAATAAAATCTTTGTCAAGTAAATTATGTTTGCTTAATTTGGACCACGTTAGTTGACGTTCTGAGCATCCTCCAGTATGAGGGTGTCCATATATATGACTGCATTAGGCGAAGCGGCCGGCCTTGTTCTACTATAGCAATCTGACTAGATCAAAGTTTATTTTTCTTTTACTCTTAGCTGTCAGAAACTATACCTTGACTATGAATTTAATAAATAAATAAATACATAAACTTAAAAGTAGGCCCACTTTCACAGAAAATTTGACATGTTAAAATTTGCAAGACATGATCGGCGATCACGTAAATTAAGCTTAAGAAAAGTTCTTACCATATAGGTTTTTCAAGAAATATTTCTGATAAAAACACCATCATCATCAAAGGAAACTCTTCTAGCTGGCATCTAATTTTATATGCAGTCCAGTGACTCGTTGAAGGAAAAACAACTGTCAACACCAAACCTACTCCTTTCCTTCTGCATTCCTTTCATCATCACTATTACATTCAATAAGTGGATTTTAAATATTATTTTATATATAGTAGAATCACATTATGTTTCCTTTGAGAATTTTTTCTCTTACTCTATGTCTACTCTGTTTCTTACTTTCTCTCTCTTCCATTTCAGCGATCTATTTATTCAACGCCACACACGCACCACAATATATCGACAATTATCAGACTTAAAGCAGTTTTATCTGGATTTGAACAGAACGAGACAAGGAACTATATTTTTGTGCTCTTTCTTATTATACAATCTAAACCTTCACTACTGTTGTGTTAATTTTTTAAAGTATTTTGTGATTACCCAAGGTGTGAACATACACATAGCCAAAACGCAGCGAAATTGATTGAATAATTATAATGAAGCTAGGCTCAACATGTGAAAATCATGAAAGAAGGCTAAGTTAATATAATCTAAAGATACCGAGAGATAAATCAATTAGTCCGGCAAATCGTAAACTAAAAGAGAGCAATTATTAGTTAATACAAGAGCTGCAAAGACGATATATTAAGTTTGTGCGGACATATTTAACAAACAGAAGGACTTAAGGACTTAGCCACAACTTTTATAATACCGATAGCCTGCCTGTCCGTCCGCCTGTCTGATATCTGTCCATGTAAATGGGTATTCAAGCTAAGGGTTGCAATTTTTGAGAAATTTTGATGAAGTTTAGTACCTTAAAATGCTTTGACCCAACGACGAACACTGTTGAAAAGAATTTAAATTGATTCACTTTTTCAATCACTCCCCTTACAATGCCCTATTTTGAAAAGCCGTCATATGGCAAAAATTGGAAATTTCAAAATTTCTCGACAAAACTCGCTCTGTTATACTATTTGGACATTTTTTATTGGCATGACAAATTTGGTTTGGTTTAGACCATTTTTTTAACCCTATCTGATATAAGCGTTCTTACGAAAACTGAATCTTTATGTAATGATAAGATATGATTTTTATATGCCATGGTGAAAATTAGTTCATAACAGTAAATTGACATAGAAATCAGATTTTCTCATATAAGCATTCCTCCAACAGACGGACTTTCATGAAAAATGTGTCTTTGCATGAAAATGATGTGTAACTTTTGATGTATTATTACCAAAACTAGTAAATACCTATATTAGGCGAAGTGGTAGGGTGTAGGGTACCTAATAGTCGTAATGTTCCTACTTGCTTTTGATTTAAATTTATTAATGCAAGAAACAGCGGTAAAGACTGCTCTTTGTTTGGTAAAATTCGGCTGGCGAAAAAAGTTTTCAACGTGATGGGTTCATCAGAATATATCCACTTTTCATAGGGACTATAGCTTTGTTTTTTGGTTCTCAAAAAAATTATGACACCCTACCATTACGCGAACATGGACCAATGTATCTGCACTTTTAACATAAAGAATAAAGTATTTAATTAATTTATGAGTAATCTTAATAGAATGATCTCATAGAGATCTCATTGTGGAAAATTTCTACAGCATAAAAATTGTACCGTGTTTTTATATCAACTTATTATTACTGAACTGTAAATTAAAAAGCAGAGCTCTTTGCAAATAAAGGTTTACTATCCGTAAGTATGGTTGTGCCAAAAAACTTTAAAAATTGAGGTACTTGGTCAAAATTCACCACAGTTCATTTTTACATCGAACTACTACTGTGGATAAATTTTCATCATAAAATACTAAAACCACGACTTTGGTCGTAACATATTAAGACAAATTTTCATAAAAATCCTTATATAGGGTAGGATCCAAATTTGGTGATTTGTTTCTCTTAAATTACTATTGTCGGTTAAGTTTCATCATAACATATTAAAATGTTGACTTTTCTGTCCTACAAAGAATCAATTTTCCTCCAAATTTATGTATAGGGTAGGATCGAAAAATATAGGATAGTGAAATTTCGAAAAGTTCATTTTATTTGACCTTTTTGTCATATGAAGTTCAGTTTTCGTTATATGAGATGAGGTTCAAAAAATTTCCCTAGCCGGGACAAAGTTTTCATCCCAATTTCGTATGCCGAATACTATTACTTAACCACTTTTGTCGAGATACGTTAAAACGTTGTAATTTCTCCATATAACGACTTTTTAAAATAATGGGGTATGGTCGAAAAACTGGACAAATCCAGACCATTTTCAATAGCTTGGGTCAAAACACGTCAGCATACCAAATCTCATGAAAATATCTCAAAAATTGCCACAGAGAGAGACGGACGAACAGACTTATACCGAGTCATTTTCGGAATTAATCGATATAATAAAAAGCGGGTCCATCTTAAACGCTTCTGCGCTTCTGTGTTATATACGTCCGCACAAACCTAATATACCGTGTATCATCCTGTGCCAAACTGAAGATCGATTGAAGATCGTAAATTATAGGAAAAAATACTCTCTTTATATTAAATTTTTTTAATAATTTGCGACGTGTTTATTTTAGCGAATTTTACCCAATTTGAAACTTGGCTTTTGGAATCGATCGAAGGGCCAAGTCTCAACTTTCTAATTAAATGTGGACCTTTCTAGTGTTAAATAAATTTTGCTTTAACCAACATTAAAGCATCGCAATTTATTTCAGTTTTTTTCTCTCCGTCTTTCTTTCTCTCTAACTCTTCCTCTTTTCGAAACGGAGTATTAAAGAACATATGTATACCTCTAATAAAAATTTCAGTAGGACATGTGTTTCTGAAGTATTTCTGAAGACTTCCTTATCATAAGTAGACAAATATTGATTGGCTGAGTAGTGTTAGCCAAAGTGTTAATTACTTAAAAAAGCGTTAAATCGAGCACTTGTTGTTATTAGTAGAACGATAAAATAGTCACAAATAAAATGATCTTATTTTGTTTATCTTTTTAATGGGGAGAGGGTAAAAAAATAGAGAGAGCGAGAGAGAGAACAACTAACGCATATTTTTTTTCATTTACATTTAAGTGCGATAAATGGGAACCCATAAAAGCCGACAGCAACAACCAAGTAACAGTTACTTAAAGATCGTTGAAGGTATTGTAAGCAACCTTAAGTAATGAGATCGATTAATAAAATTGAAAATAATAACGGAAACGGAAATCGATATAGAAAATAAAAAAAAAAGAATTTTTTTTCTAAAGTTAATATAAAAAATATATTTTAAATTTTCTTAGCAAAAATAATAACAGCAAAAATGTCCGATCGTTTTCAAATCTTGAAAGTGAACAATAATACTATCGACAATAATTACAACAACGACAATAACAATAGCATAACAACTATTAGCGAAAATATAAACAACCGCAATGGAAGTAACATTGAGTCGGCGGCGGAGGCTCCACCGCTTCCACACTCGTCATTACCCCCGCAAGCTACACGCCGTAAGAGCTCCCGATTTTTTGGTAATCTTCTACGCTCAAAGCAAAGCCAAAGTGCCTCCGATCGTAAATACAGTTTGGCTCAGTTGACTCAGTGAGTATTGTAACAACATCAATTAAATTTTAAACGATATAAGTTCAAAAAATTGAAACCCAGTGTTGTGATTAGATAATCCTAAGCCCATTCTAGAATACATATACAATAACGATCAAACTGTTTTTTAGTATTTGCAGCAAATATCGATGCAAATAAAATAACTTTCCGTTTTCCGTTTCTTAGCTACGAATATATAAGATAGGAATTTTACACCTATCCGCACATATATCCCATATTTCGCGGAATTTACAATATTTAGTTATTACTGATATAACGGCTATGGCCGTCTAAAATCAATTTCCACCTACTAGCACACCAAGGTCAAGAAATCAAAAAAGTTAAGAATATTAATTTCAGTCAGATGCAAATCAAAAAGTTTCTTAAGGAGTTAAATGTTTATCTTAACTTTCCCAAATAAGACGTCTCGGCCGTATATTTAGGGATATATATGATGTAAAGCTCTTACGCCACATAGGTTACTGTAAGCAAGTAGAACAGCATGGAACTGTAAAAAATGGTTTTCTCATACCAAGTTCTAAATTTCTAACGGTAACTTCGCATATAAAAGATTCAAATTTTCTTCATGTGCGCGAGCAAAGGCAACAACTTGAAATAAATAATAACATTATAATATAGTTCCGTGTAAAAAATATTGATTTTTATAATAGAAATTAGCAAATACAATGTATGAATTCTAACTTCGTGAAGACTCACTACCTTCATAACGCAAATCTAAATTTTTAATAGAAACATTATTTGTGTGTTCATGACGAACACAGGTACTTGTTCGTCACACTGCTAGTATCTTGAAGATTACAGGAATTGACACAAAATAACCTAATATGCTTTGTGCCAATGCAACTACTTCTAACGCCCACGGGTGCCATCACTAAGTTCAACGCAAAGTTTGTAATCAAGTTAATCGTGCCAAGCTGTTCGTCCGCTATTAAAATGCCGAGAAATTAAAGATAAATTTGTCCTGCTATTGCTAAAAATATCTAGGCAACAAAAATTTCAATGTTAATGGTAGAACAGATTTTTACAGAAAAATGTTTATCGCACGCTCGATACGAAAGCAATACCGACTAACCTATTCTCATCGCTAGATTTTCCAAATAAACATTTCGATTTTGTTTGAACATTCGTTTAACGCGCTCCACATAGTTCTTGTTCTTCCTGTAATCACATCATTGTTTATTATAAAATCGTTAGAAATACATTTTTATTATCTTATGCTGCACTGTATTTATATACATGTGGTGTTCATTTACTTTCCCGCAAATCAAGTAATGATTAACTTATAATTATGTATTATTATTATAATAAAATATAAATATATAAATAAAATGTATTTATATCAATCAAAACGCACAATAGTCGGCACATGCTACGATTATTGCGTTCTGTTATACATAATTTGTTAAGAATTTTTTTTTTTTTAGAATAATTAATATGATTAATTAAAGATGAAAAACTATATAGAACAATAAATGCAAATGCAAAGAATTTTTCTCATAATTAACACGATTACGCAAATCAATAATAAGTATAAATAAATACTTGGATTAAAATAATAATTATTTTATAGTAATTAAACATTCTTTTAACAATTTCTCCTCACAGAGAAGCCCTACCCCGTTTAGATAACTACAGAACATCAAAACGTAACCTGAAGCGGCCTTCCATAGGCCAATTACATTGTGAAACTGTGCAGGAAGAGGTAAGTAAAAGAACTTTTTTTGCTATTATTGTTGTTACCGGTTACACGCTGTATTGAAAGAATTGAAGAAATCGTGGTAAACGATGGAATAGTGAATTTAAGCAATTGATTTTAAGAAAACAAAATCTTTCTCCTTAGGCACTTATATAAGGTTTATTTGGTAGAATAATAAGACCTAGGAGAAGTTAAGTCCTACACATTGAAATGTTAGCGGAACACTGAAAATATATAATCTAAACTTTCGGAGAGTTGGAACACCCGCGTTCACATCATTCTTTATTTATCGGAATATCCACTCTATTCGAATTTCAAAAACTTAGGAAAGCATTTTTTCTACATAAATATAATCCCACTTCAGGCTTTCAAAATGCAAGACATGATAAATTTATTTGAGCAAAAGTAAAAAATATTATCAATTTTTCTACTTGCTCTACTCGTCTTCATTTCTGCCTTTCTTCCGTTAATTTATAAATTATTCGCAACGCAGTTTTCTTCTTTTATATGAAGTGCTTTCTCTCGATATACTTGTGCTTATAATGCGACATCGTTAAGATAATTTGAAGTGCATCAATTGAAAATAACAGAACGTACGTAACTGCATTGTATGCTTTAACTTGTAGTCTTAAAGAAATTTTTTGTCTTTGCTTTTCTATATATGTGAAAAATGTATTGCGTTGGCCTGTTATGAAAAAGGAATTCGCCAACCCAATAAATAAACACATCTAATGCGGCAGGTTCACCGTATTGCAAAAAGCAAAAAGAAGAAGAAGCAGGGAATTCCTATCTAACACATTTGGAAAAATAGCGTTAATTACAAAAAATTACATTGGATACAAATAAAAGATATATCGATATCTGTACAGGGCGAGAATACTTACTCAGCAGTTACTAACCAATGAGCCAAAGACATAAAAAACTTGTAAGCAAGTAGACGTAGAAATAGCCAGTGCTTTTAAGATTTTATCGAATAAACTGATTAATCATTGTCAAAAAAACGAAGACATTTGAACATGATATACTATTCAATATATGATAAATATTATAAAAAAAATAAGCAAAGATGCCTTACAGCGAATTTCAGGTACTCATCATCAGATTTGAAAACATTCAAACGTTTACTTTTTTGTAAATCGTGGGCGTGGAAGTAGACCGGGAACAATTTTTCTCTTTGTTATTTGTTAAATAGTCGCCTGCTATAATTTGCTTTCTAAGAATACCGATTATTAACGCTTTTGTCGTAAATAACGCTCTATATACGCGGTCGGAGAAACCAGACTCTCAGGAAAGGCTAAATAGGAGTTGGGTAAACAAGCAGAATGGAAAGACGTAGATAGGCGAAGAGGCAGGAGGATTAGACAAACGGATAAGCGAAGAAAGAGATCCAACGTTAGATAGATGAGATCAAAGAAGGTGGAAAGGTATTATAAACCAGATTAACAAGTAAACAAGTCTACATAAGCTCATATAGATGAATGGATAGGCAGAAGAACAGGTAGAAGAAGAAGAAGAGAAAGGCAATTAGAACAGTCGTGTAGATAAATATACTAACAGAAGACTAAGAAAAATGGGCGTAAAGTATGATAGATGAAGCGAAAGCCAAAAAGAAGGAATGATTGCGGAGCAAACATACGAAGTTCCTGATAAACAGATTGGAATGGGCAAAAGTCGACAAAGAGAAAAAAATGACCCAGCAGGCGTGCGTAAATCAAACAAGCATTACACCTATCTTGAATAAATATTGTTTGAAAAGATCATTGTTGCGTGTGTCCAAGGTCACAAACTAAATAATATGTTCAGAGCGTTTATCCGTCTTAGCCGAACAGTCGCTTAAAACTCACCTTTTCTGCTTATAAGATATTTGACTTTATTGCCGAATGTCAAGCAATTTATTATATTATATTGTCTAACATAATTATTGAAACAAATTTTATAAAGTGGTAAACAGTTCTTCAACACTGTTAATCATCGCGTCAACGTAACGTATTATTGTTATTTTATTATTGTTAAATGCTTAGTTCAATAGCAAAAAAGAAAGAAAAGTGCTTACGATATATCTATTTACTAAGTATAGAAAAAGCATACCAAAGTTTCTTTTCTCTCTATCCCTTCCATACAGGCGGCTTACAGAGCACAGATAACGAGTAATTAGTAATAAGATGTTATAAATCTATTTTAATAAATTGTATTGCCAGGTAATTAGTGTAAACACAGAACCGTTTTATATCGCCACTCAAACAGTCACTGAGTTCGTTTTAAATCCTCTTTACTTACGATATGTATTAAGCTGATCATAAAGCATTACCTTCTAAATCTTTTTTATAAAAGCGACTCAGTAAATTTATTCCAATTTTGCTGGATAGCAATTTCATACAAAATAATCTGCATTGAAACCTAGTTAAAGCCTGATTTACACTCATCGGAACTTTTGCACAATTTTTTCCAGGTTTTCAAAAACGATCGTTTGGATCACACAGGTGATGTTGTTTTAGTTGTATCTGCTGCAGTCTCGTCCTATTCATTTCGATTTCCTACTTCTCCTGACGTTGAATTTATTGCCATTCGGACAAAAATTGGCAGTAAACAGTTATACGTAACTCGCTCCTATATTCCCTCAAATGCTGATATCTCTGTTTATAAGCAACATGCTGTCCCCTTTTGTGACGTAGCCGGAAAGTCTACTGATATAGTTATAGTGTTGGGGAGTTTGAATTTGCCATAAGTCACTTGGTGTTATAATCATAACTCTGGCTGTATGATCCTCAATTCAACATATGATAGAGCTATGGTGTTTTCAATGAACTATTTGATCGTAATTTATTTCAAAGCGCAATGGCAGACTGCTTGATTTTTGCTTTACCAATTTCCCGGAGGTGGCGACAAACCGCTGCCCACCAGCAATTTACATTTCCTTTCATTACAGGCGTAATGGTACGTTGAACCATTCTAATGTGTCAAATCCCACTTGTTCAAATAAAGATTATGATCTTAATAAAACCAATATCTTATTACCTAAATCTTATCTTTCACATATTATGCTCGGAATACTGCATCCCTACTATCGTATTTATATATTGTATTAAATCTAGCTATTTCTCTATCCCTTCCGAGCAAGTAATCTCGCCCTCGAAGCAGGTACCCGCCTTGGTTTAACAAGAGTGGTAAATATTACAAAAAAGAGAAAAACAGACTTTTTAAAAAATTTACGAGTCTCACGACTTTTCGCATATAGTGCTGCGGGGCATAGATTTAATTACCTCAACCACCAATGCTGTTGCATATACCTTCAGAAGATAAAATCGTCACTGCTTGTTAACCCTCAAAATTTTTAAAGTTCGTCAGAAAAATTTGCACACATATCCCCCGCATCTTTCTCTAATGGATTCAAATCTTCTGGTGATATTGAAACCTCAAATCTCGTTCTTGAATACTTCCGACGAAATTTTTTAACTGCTGATTTCAATTTAATTATTAACTATATGTATTTGGTAACTAACGTGGTTTCGATTCCCAATTCATTTCAGAAAATGACATTTCTCATGGTTTCAGGTCTGTAAAATACAGTTGTGCGCCTGGGTCTGACGGTATTCCATCATCTATACGGAAATCATGCTGCTACGAGTTATATGGTATTATTTCAAAGTTTTTTAATCAGTCCTTGAACTCAGGTGTCTTTTCTTTGTGTTGGAAAAGTAGTTTCCTTATTCCAATTCACAAATGTACAAACAGACATCACATAGAAAACTATATAGGCAACTTGAGTGTCTTGCTTGAATTGTTTGAGCGAATTGGTACTCAATATTTAGCTATTGTTTCAATTCTTACATTTCTCCATTCCAGCATGGCTTCCTAAAAAGAAGATCAACTGTTGACAATCTCAGAGTTTACTTTCCGTGTTTTTCAGGCTTTTTCTAATGGCCCTCTCATGGATTTCGTTTATACTGATTTTAGTAAAGCGTTAACTTAGTTAACCATAACTTTTTGATATTCAAGCTCCAGGCGTCTGGTTTCCCTTTCTACTTAGTGAAATCGATAAGCTCTTATCTGCACAACAGATCATTCAGGGTTCTTTTTAACTTCATCACCTCGAATGAATTTCCCGTGGCGTCTGGCGTCCACTTAGGAGCCCTTTTATTTAATTTATACGTTAATGATCTTTCCTCGGTGATTAAATCTAGTCAGATCTTATTGTAAGCTGACTATGTTAAATTATTTTCTTCCTTCTCCTTGGAATCGCAATCGCATCAAGTTCCAATTGACCTAACTGATTTGCTTACATGGTGGTCGTTAAATTTTATGAAATTAAATCTAAAAAAATGCAAGAAGCTTTCTTTCTCATGGAGGAAGTCCATCAGTATTGTGTATTTCCTTGATTCACTTAAGTTGGAAAACGTTGATTTGTTCATCGATTTATGGGTTCTACTCTAACAAAGATTACATTTTAATTTGCACATTGAGTTCGCTTTAAGTAAAGGTAGGTTTCATTAAGAAATGGAGAGGCCCAAAGAGCTTACGGACCTTTACATTACAAATTGGCTGTGCATGTGCTTATACCAATACTTGAGTATGGTTCGGCTGTGTGATCTTCCTCATCCTACAGGTGTTATGTAGATTCCATTACATTCATTCAAAAGCAATTCTTCTTCTTAGGCGTTTAAGTTGAGACCCGCTTGTCGCTCTGTCTCCTTATGAAAATAGGTTGCACCTGCCATCCTTACCGTGGGAAACATAGATTTATTCTCGGTGTTTTCTTCCTTATGAAGTTAATTAATGGTACTATCGAATTGCCCACATTACTCGGTGAGATAACCTTTAACGTCCCTATTTGCTTCTCTAGGCACTTTATTGTCATTAAGCTTAGTCAATGTAGTAAAGCTTAGTCATTATAATTATGAGATGTTTAATCCATTCAGAGTTGTTTGCAGAAACTTAAATGATGTCCACCACTTAATCTCAATATCAGATTCTTTAAAGTCTATCAAAACAATTATGCTCCATATTTAAACTAACTTTCAAACTTAACATCTCACTACGATTCAAAAATTAACTGAGGTTATTTACTCTTACCGATTGTCAAATTTTTGCATGTTTGCAATGACGTAAAGGGTTCGCAAGCAACTTGGTTCTGTACTAGTTGTGGGTAGGCTTCTATGCTTGTTGCTTTTTATCTTTTTTTTTCTTTACTTTTCCTTATATACTTTCTACTAGTTTTTAATAATAATTAGTATAAAAGTCAATTGAATCCGTCTGTTAATTTATTTTAGCTGAGTTTCATATGTAAACAAATGAATAAATAAATAATAATATAATATTAAAAACAGATTTTTTCTACAAAAAGTTATCAATTTATTGTTATATTAAAGCGCTAAGCGGAATTTTTGGTATATGTACAAAAAAAACTGACAGCCTTCCGAATTCGAACTGTAAGAGTGTGCCCTTGATAACTTTTGCAACGTGTGAACGAGCGAGCAAGAGGATGACAGCGTCCGCGCCTTTCGTGCAACAATACATTGTTCATTTTGTTCAATTGAAGTTAGTAGACCTCTGCAGTAATAGTTTCTTTCGGTTCTAGCAGCTCGTAATACTCTGCAGATGGCTGATTCCACAATGTACACAGGAAAATCTTATGGACATGAATATTCAGTTTCGGGGTGGACGTGGATGGCTCTCCTAGACTAACCCACGAGCTTTTGCGCTTGGGGTTCTCTAAGTAGACCAATTTTTCATCGCCAATCATAATATGCTACAAGAAACCCTTTGATTTTTGCCTAGCAGACAATGAACCCGTAAGGTTGAAATGATACGAAGCGTTGTTCTCATTCAGTTCGCATGGTAGCCGTTTTCCCTACGTTTGGATCTTTCTCATCACATGTAAACGTCTACAAACCTTCAATTCACCAACTACTAACCTGTTCGAAAGTTTTTTGAGACTTTGAGCTGGGTTTTTGTTCAACAAGTTTTGCAATTCATTGTCTTCGAACTTTCTTGGTCCTGCAGGCTGTTCTTCGTCACTGACTTCAAAATCACCACTTTTAATTCTTGAAACCAAATCCCACAATTGAGACATGATAGAGCAACATCATCATAAGTTTCTAAAAGTGTCTGAAGGACTTCGGCATCAGATTTCTTCAAATTAAACAATGCAAGTAATGAATGTCGGAAATGCAACTTTGAGCGTTGGAATATTAGCGTGTGTATACACTGAATAGTTCAATAATACTAAATTGAAAACTCTTATCTTACGCAGAGAAAAGTCAAAACCATCGAATTTAATCGTCGCGCACATTGATGCTTCACACTATTTTATCGTTTTCACCAATAGATGTCGCTGGTGAAAATAGATGCAAGCAACTATCACTTTCAACGTTTTTGCACGACTTAAAGGCATAATTTGAATTTTTGGGACCAGGAAATTATTTACCACACATTCTTACAAGCGAACAAACGGACAGACGAACAGACAGACATGTTTAGGTGCATTCAATATTTGAAACTGGCAAAGAATTTATATACATTATGGGGTTTTTAAAGCTTGTATCTGCGCGTTTAGTTGCCATAGTTTATGAATAATGTACAGAACAGCAATTTTTCATTTCCTCTCAAAAACAGAGGTATTCTCATTTTAAGTGGTGCTGTGGGCGTGCACGTCAATTGATTTGGCCCATTTTCAATACTAACCTTCGCACGAGAACTTCCCTCGTTTCGGACAAATTCGAAGTCGATAGTTTCATTTTTGCGGGCAGGACAACGTTTACAACAGACCTTACACAGATGGACAGACGGGCATGCATAACTCGATTTAGAATTTAATGCTGATCAAGCATATGTATAGTTTGTAGTTTTGCTGCCTTTCCAATGTTCTGCGTTGTAGATGCTATAAAGCATCGAAATTGCGAAAATTCGCATTATTGTATACTTGCATGTTGTCGTGTGTTGACGCATACACAAACATAGACATCACTGCAACTGCAAAGTTTTGAAATAGTTACGAATTCTCGATTCGTGAATTTTTCGTTCACTTCTTCAAGTTTCCGCAATTTCCTACTAACCTCCATTTGAGTACCAACAAGTCTTTCAGCTTAAAACATTTTCGTATGTCGTTAACCCGTACGCTTGAGTGGTCGAGGAACAGTGGATTTCCGATTCCACTTTTAGCCTTGGACATACAGCTGTTAATTCGGAAGCAAGAAAAGAACGAATAATCTTTAGTATTGAAGACGAATATTTAGTAGCGGAAGGATTGCAATTCCGCAAACTTATGCAACCTAAGTGCACGATATGTAAGTGCTGGGTATGTATGAGATGCCATCTACGTACTAAACGCATTGATGCAAAACATCACTTCATACTTGGAACATGTGAAAATGGATGAATAGTTCTAGATTCCATGAAACCGAAAACTATATTAGCTTATAAAGCGGCAAAGCATTCACAACCTCACAGATGCATCGTCAACTTATGTGTTGGATTCTTTTACCTGCCCGGCTAGACGTATTTTTAAAATTTAATTTTCCTTTATGATTTATTTGGTCTACTTCGACGGGTGATGTTAAACCATGTAACAAAGTAACTCAAATATGTGATATCAAATATTTAATTGCACTAATTTTTATTATTGTTGATAATTCAATTAGTTTTAGTATTACATTCTATTTTCACATTAAATTGTTTTAAATTTCTATTAAACTACATTGAAGACGTTATTGAATATGTTTCTAAAATGCGTGTACGTTTGGAGATCAAAAGTTCTACTACTTCTACATTTTTTCCCTGAACTGATGTTCATAGCGAATATATGGCTGAAAATTAGCTTTTCAAAAATATTCTAACTATTCGGCCTTAATATAAATAATATAAATAACATGTTCGCCAACATGAAAAAATTCGAAGATAAACTTTAAAGAAAATGTGCTTCGTTGTTAGTGAGATTATCGTTTCTATTATTGGGAAATAAATTTCAAACTTGATTTTTTCATCAAGCAGACTATACGGAAAATATTATATATGCGATGTAATACCCAACAAAGCCTTGGCTCATCGTTAGAATCACTATTTTTACTCATCTAAAGATAATCTTTTTCCAATATACACCAAATATACCAAATTATTTCTTTAGACGTATAATATAAAATTTCATTTTTGACAAAAGATGCGTGGGGAAGGGATTCATGGTAAACTTTATATTGAGCGTAGCGAACGTCGGCTTCATGCATTGCAGAGTTGAAAAGATCCGTTGATAAAAAAAGCATTGTTATCTTTTCTCCCCACCATTATCTAATTTAACACTTAATAATGTAATAAATTCCGATTTTACAAATTTTTTTAGTCATTTTCTTCGATTAAAGTCCTATTATCTCAATACTAGAGGCAACTCCCCATGCCATTAAGCCTAAACATAGTGCCTGATATCCATAGTATATAATAATACCTGTCGCCCTTATGAAGGAGAAAAAATCATGGAATCGTGACTGATTTTGCAGTTCTAATAACTTCTCCAAACCAGAAGAGAATTAATTGTTTACGTTTTTAAGTTGTTATTAGTAAAATACCATTAATATAATTAATTTATTATACCAAGGAAAAAAATGCATTTTAAGGAACTTGTCCGGAAATCCATTTTACAATTTTTGTATTTCCGTAAATTTACAAATTATGACAAGTGCCACAAAAACACACAAGTGGCCACTGACACTAGCAATTTTCCGACAGCTTTGCATAGTCAATTCGCGAAAATCTTTCAGGACCGGACTTTGAATATCGTAGGTGGGGTAAGAGATACACTAAAGAGACACTTGTACAGATTGAGAACGTAAAGTTATTCAATAATATTCTGTTTTTCATTGAAATTATCTGCAGAACCAAGTTTCTTTCTTTTTTCTTACGTTTTTCTTTCAGACTCAAATAACAATGCCTGACTTGTCCGCCCACGAGACGGATGGTGTTGGTCATCACATCAAGTTGGGGTGGATCGTAGGCGTTATGATACCATGTTTACTGAACATATGGGGTGTTATGCTGTTCCTTCGTCTATCGTGGGTTGTAGGAGAATCAGGCATATTGCAAACATTGGGCATTATAACAATATCGGCGATAGTGTGTGTAATCACCACTCTATCATTATCCGCAATTAGCACCAATGGTGAAGTAAAAGGTGGTGGTGTGTATTTTATCATATCACGTTCCTTAGGACCAGAATTTGGAGCTTCAGTGGGAGTGGTCTTTGCCTTTGCTAACGCGGTGGCAGCAGCCATGAACACCATTGGTTTTTGCGACGCTCTTAACGCCGTATTAAGTAAGATTATAAATAAAGAAAAATTAAAAATATTTAAATAATATTATTAGCACTCGTACGTTAGGGGCGCACGGTCTTAAAATTGTTGATGGTGGCATTAACGATGTACGCATAGTTGGCGTATGCACTATCGTAATTTTAATAATGATTTGTTGTGTCGGCATGGAATGGGAGACCAAAGCCCAAAATTTTCTTATCGTTACCATTGTTTTGGCTATCGGAAATTTTTTATTGGGAGCAGCCATAGGGCCGATGGGCAATGAGGAAGAAATAGCTGAAGGATTTGTTGGCTTTTCTTGGCCGACTCTAAAAGAAAATCTGCTTTCGGATTACCGCCGCTCGGAGGGTGTCGATCAAGATTTCTTCAGTGTGTTTGCAATATTTTTTCCAAGTGTTACGGGTATTCAAGCCGGGGCTAATATTTGTGGTGATCTGAAGGATCCCGGTGATGCTATACCAAAGGGCACTTTTTGGGCTTTGCTTTTGTCCATGATTTCGTACGCCATATTCGTTATATTTGCTGGAGGTGCCGCGGTACGAGATGCCTCTGGCAATATCGACGATTTGGTGAATGGTACTTTAGTGGGTTCACAGTTGGCGTGCAAATTCAATAATGTAAGTAAGTAAAGTAAGTAAACGAGCTTTGGATGTAAAGAGAAGTAGTTAATGTAGGGTTACTATCACAATGTGTGTGATTTCTTTTACGTTTTGTTTCATAGGCTTAAATGGTTCCTTAACTATTGATTCGATTTCTGAATTTGTAACGCCGCATTACAGGCGCTTGGTATGCAGTGGTTAATTTGGAAATTGTATTGTGCATAACTTGAAGCTGAAAAACAAATTTCTTAAAAACTTTACGACTTAAAACCTAAAACTCATTTCTCTCAAAACCCTTTTTCCAAAATTGCAGTGCCGCTGGCTCCTCCAATTTTCGCCAGTGACCTTAGTGGAACTTTCCGGTAATTTACAATATGCCGAATTTACATTCCTGGGCGATTTTTCCAAAAAAGGAAGCAATTTTGCGCAAAAAACCTACCGTGGTCGACTAGATTTTATATCATATTTCTAGACAAAATTTAATTAGTGGTTTCAAGTGCAAAGTTGTCATCTGTAGGACGGATGCATAAACAAAGATAGTTCTGAGAAGCTGTCGGACATTTCGTTCTTGAATAATTAGGAACAAATTTTTTCGTATATTTACAAATTGTACTTTCATGTGTAAAAGGTTAACAAAAATGTAAAATGTTGACAAAACCTTCCCATTTTTTTTTTTATTAAAGTTTAGAAAGAAGGCTATTTTTGGTGGTCATTAATGGTGGCTTAGCTTTCGTTAAATGCAAAAAAGTAGCACTGTCTTACAACGCATAAAGTAAGTTTCCTCTGGCTTCAACAACGCTTCATATCAATTTTATTGCCTTTTCCATCAATTCGCACGGAAAGAGGTGAAGAAATCTCCGAAGTGATCTTTACACCGCTAAATGTTGCACTGCATCTTTCGGAAAGGAACACAAATGAAACCATTCTTATTATTTAGCTTAATTTTTTTCTGGCTTTCTATTCCCAAAACAGACATGTAAATACGGATTATCCAATTCATATGAAGTTATGCAGCTAATCTCATTGTGGGGCCCTTTAATTTATGCTGGTTGTTTCGCGGCGACACTCAGCACTTCGTTAACAAATCTTTTGTCGGTACCGCGCTTGGTGCAAGCTTTGGGTATTGACAAAATCTATCCAGGTTTGATATTCTTCTCTAAACCTTACGGAAAACACGGAGAACCTTATAGAGGTTACGTGCTGACGTTCCTAATATCAGCCGGCTTTTTGTTAATCGGTCAATTGAACGTTATAGCTCCCTTGATTTCTACTTTTTATTTGGCTTCATATGCTTTAATAAATTTCTGTACATTTCATGCGGCATCAGTAAAGCCTTTAGGATGGAGACCAACATTTAAGGTAAGCTAAGTTTTATTTTCCTTTTGAAAATTAACATTGTCTTATTTATCACTTTAACAGTATTACAACGCTTGGCTGAGCCTATTCGGTTTCGTTCTTTGCATTGCCATTATGTTTTTAATTGACTGGATGTCTTCTCTCATCACCTTAGTAATCATCTTTGCTTTATATCTTGTGGTAGTGTATCGAAAGCCGGAAGCGAATTGGGGTTCTTCTACTCAAGCGCAACAATACAAAGCTGCCTTAACCGCAGTACACCGTTTACAAAACGTTTCGGATCATGTAAAAAATTATGCTCCTCAAGTATTGGTATTGGCTGGAAATCCTAAAGATCGTCCTCCGCTTATTGACTTTGGTCATTTGCTAACGAAGCACAATTCTTTGATGTTTGTAGGAAATGTTTTAACGGTGAGTTAAAACCGTATCAATATATATAGGTATAGCCGGATTTACACATTTAATTATGCAGAAAAGTATCGGCTATAAAAAACGTAAACAACAAATTAAAGAAGGACAACAATATTTGAATGCCCGAAAGATCAAAGCCTTTTACAATATCATTGACGGTTTCGCGATGGAGGACGGTGTCAAAGCTTTGATTAAAACGAGCGGCTTTGGCAAATTAACACCTAATATTGTGATAATGGGTTATAAAGCCAACTGGTCACGGTGTAGTCGAGAAGAAGTTGAATGTTATTTCAATATTTTGTAGTAAGCTTTCATATTTTACTTTGCCAAATTATACTCATTCTATATCCTGCTTTTCTTTTCTTAAGTAACGCTTTCTCTTTACGTATGGGCGTGGCTCTATTGCATTTACCTACTGGTATAGATTTTTCAGATCTAAACCCGGAAATATGTTACGCTTCCTTTGATAATGTTCTAAGTCACATCAACACACCTAATGCAAAAGGTTTCGCAAATCTTCTAATGCCTCCCGGTAATGCTGCTGCTGATTTGCTGCATGTAGACTCCAATTTGAACTTAGCAGCTTTGGATAGTCCCAATTCTACCTCAACTATACCCCAACCCGCTCCTATGCCCAATATGTCTCCTGCCGTCAAAAATTATAAGATCAATCATGACGATACTGTAACCTATTTAACAAAGGGCGGTTCAGAAGTACCGAAAAATATTTTAGATGCTTTAACTGTATTCACACGCAAGCAACCCAAGAACACAATTGATGTGTTCTGGTTGTACGATGATGGTGGCAAGTACCAATACTAGGAAACTTAAGTAACAGCGAAGATCTAATAATTTTTTTTTAATGAAAAGGTCTGACTATGTTGCTTCCTTACATTATATCTATGCGTTCCAATTGGCAACATTGTAAATTGCGCGTTTTCGCCTTATCTCATGGCAAAGACGAAGAAATGGAAGAGAAGAAGTAAGTAAAAACTGAGCGAATAATCAAGAAAGTTCTCGACAACGGATGACAGCGGATAAACTTCAAAAGGGCTAATAGTTTCGAATAAAAACATTTATCTATAAAAACATTTGAATGTAACTACACCCGCTTCCGTCTCTGATTCTGCGATCATTAGCCGAAATAAGTCGAATGTTCAATATGGGAATGACAATTGCCAATAGGTGTTTCTATTTCAAAACAGGCAACTTCCGACAAATCACTGCTTTCAAACGTGCGCTTGTCTTAGCCAACGGAATATATAGTACTTAATTTCTTCCGCTATTCATAAGATTCAAAAATATTCATAAGGCACTTTACAATGTCGATTTCGCTAAATCCGTTCACCTTGCTTATTATTGATACCTTTAGATAAATATAAAGCGATAGATGCAGCTTACGAGTGAGCTCATCCTTTCTACATAAGAGACAAGGGTACTTAAAAAATATTACTTATAAAGCGCGGATCCAAAATTTTATTAACATATTTATCACAGCCAATTAAAAGTCCAAGAGAACGGTTGTGCTAATCTGTCAATTTTCAAATAAAAAACTGTTTTGCAATTTTTAAAAACACACTTGAAGATGGGGTTGAATGAGAAAAATGAGTAAATGGAAAAAGTTGGGAACACAATTTCCACTTGTGACGATTCCCAAATTCATATCAAACAGGTATAGCATTCGGAATACCAAATTTACCTTCCTAAGAATAAAATTCACATGCACATTGAATTTCCGCTTTGTTCATAGAGGCACTCCACCCTGTCTTTCCTAACCACTACTGGGTCCGCATATGTAGTGGGTCAACGAAAAAAGATATTAGAAATAACTTTTTCACATTTTTGGTTACTTTTTTCTAAACGTTCTCTTAATTTTTTAAAAATTCACTTTACCTAGCATGGCAAGTTTATTAACCAAATTCCGCATTAAATATTCAGAGCTGATCATGCTTAAAGGTCTGACCGAATCTCCGAAACCGGAAACATTGCTGAAACATAACCGTTTTATCGATTACTACAACAGTAATGTAGCAAACGAATATGATCGTATTACAAGCGGTGAATTGCAAACAATGGAAGTGAAAACCAATCGACAGTTACGTATACACGAACTGATTGTAGAACATTCTTCAGATACGGCTTTAATAGTTATGTCTTTACCTATGCCAAGAAAGGTAAACTTCAGCACAAAATTATTATAATATTATTATCATAAGATATTTTAATGGGTTTTTTAATCGTCTTACAGGAAGCAATTTCTGCCCCTTTGTATTTGTCCTGGTTGGAAATGTTAACGAGCGATATCAAATGTCCTCTAGTATTGGCTAGAGGCAATCAAACACCTGTACTGACTTTCTATTCCTAAAGTAACGTTATTTTTGTTTCTTTAGTTATTAACGTGTTATTAGTTCATTTAAGCAAACAGTATTTAGTAATTAATTCTACATTTTAAATAAAAATAAACTTTGCGATTAATATATTTCCACTTTTCATATATTTCATAGTTAAACCAAATTTTTGAAGCGACTTAACATACTGATTTGGATTACGACTTAAGTAGCTATAAAAAATTAAGGAACTCAAGAATTTCCCCCAGCCGTAACTATAAAGAGGTTCAATAATATGCCCGGCGAGGATTATTCTAGAAATTATATTATTTGGTGTTAGAAATGGAAAATGAAACTTAAGAATTTTTATACGTACCAAAGGATTAGGTCTGAAACGATAAGCTAACATCATACGTTTTCGATAGGCATCGTATTCATTATCACATTCTTCCGGAGAAGCTGCATTTTGCACACCCAAACCTTGATTACCCTCTCTTTGTGGGCCTCTGTTGATAAACTTTTATATCAGTAGATTCCTTCGTTTGCTTTTCCGTACTTACTTATTGATTGGGTCTACAATGCCCTCACCATCTTGGCCCAGCCCTTGACCCTCTTTCCAACCAAGTTTTTGCAACATTTGGAAACCTTTATTATCTTCTTTTAGTTTATATTCTTTGTAATCGCTTAAATCCGGTTGACGATTACTCTTTTTGGCTTCATATTGTTCCATAAACTTTTTCAGTTCTTCAGGCGGTAAGAAATCTCCTATGTGATGTTTACCCTCACTTTGTTTTGTCAACGCCGTAGCCCAAGCACGTGTAGCTTCCATTTCGGCTTGTCGTAGCTTATGTTCCCATGTTCCACCATCCACGTCTTCGTCAGAGTCATATTCATATTTAAATTTACCACTACGTGCTAGCCGGTCAATTTCCTGACGTTTGCGCATCATATCTTGATACAATAAGTTGACCTTATAATGCTCTTCGCATTTCTTCCAATCCTCTTCGCTAAGATTCGTGGAGCCATAGTTTAATTTAGCATATTGTAACAAAGCCGGATCGTTCCGCGTAATAGCGGTAAGTAGAGGTTTGTTTTGGTTACCGAAGTTGCTAGGCGCGCCTTAAAATAAAACATTCAGTAAAAATAATTTAAATCTTAATTCTTCTTTCTTTTCTAATTTTATTGCGCTTCTCCGTTTCCCACGCCGTTTCGAATTTTTGTCATTTTTAATCTTTCTTCCCCACGAAATAATCATTTCTTTATTATTTCATTCGCTATAGGTTTGGGTTTTCATTCGTCGTTTCCGGTTCCTTTTCTTCTTGTCTACCCTACAGTAACCTAGTCATTCGTTTTATTAATAGGTATACTAGAACATTTTAGACCCTCTACGATCTGTCCTTTTAGAAATTTATTTTCTCTCTATATATTGTTTCTCATTACATTTTCGTCATATAGTTTTGTCCCTTTTTCTTTTGTTTTTTTATATTTCACTTTTTTTAAATTTCACACTTATCTGTAAATAATGTTTCGATCTGCTTCAATCTTTGCATTCCTATTTATCAAGAACTTACTTGATGTTGAAGCCGAACTATTGGCATTTTCAACTTTACCACCCCAACGACTTTTTCTTAACTTTTTCTTCTCTAATTTGCGTTGAGCGTCTCGTTCTTCAGCCTCGCGCTCCTGCCTTTCCTCTTCACTTAACTCATTCCGACATTCTATGCGTCGCTTAATATTATCTCTATTACGATCCATCATTCCACGTCGATATTCGTCATCTGAATCGTTATCAGCGCTTATAACTGATTCCGGATCATATTTATCTTCTTCCACACTGCAGATAAGTTTTTTGCTTGTGCCACCCTTCGTTCTTCTCTCTATTTCTTTTTCAGCTTCTTCGCGTTTCTGTTGTTCCTTCAGCTTTTCCTGACGACAATCAATTACTTGTTGTCGATAGTGATGATATTTTTCGCAGTCTTTCTCACAGATAAACCTAAATGAAAAGTGGATAGGGGAAAAAAAGAAATAAACAAGGCGTAGAAAGTATAGAATAAAATGTGGATGCATTGTAAAAGTTTGTAAGAAATGTTTAACCAAATCCGTTCGTTCAATTTCAAAAATGGTTATGCTACTCATTATCTTCATAGTCTCCCATCGGTATCCAATCAATCATTAAATATTCATCGTTGGATTACAGTTGAAAAGACCTGGATGGACGTGGTGTCTTATATTGTTGTACGTGGGGATGGTTTGCGAATTGACGAAGATCGCACAACTTTCACTCATACGACCCGACACAGCTTGTGGTATTTTTTTTTTTTTTTTTGCAATTTTGAAAAATTACTTTAGTATTTTTTTAAACTGAAAATGTGGCACGTAAAGACGCCCCTATGTGCTTAATCCTATGGTTTTACGAAGATACAGAAGCAACTTTTCCATGCCAAAATAACATATATAATGAGAGAACTTAACTATAACTTTCGAACTAATCTATATTACAAATTAAAAAAATTTAAAAACTAAAAAACTGTTGCTTTGAGCACTGTTTTCTCTACTAGATTTGTTCCTATAAAGTAAAGATGATTGCTTAAGAACTACGTAAAATATATCTATGTTGCATTCGCCTTTGCCCGCACACATTCTAAAAAATTGCGAGAATTGGAAGCGTGCATTACACATTTACATAAATATAATAAATGCGCTTGACCTTACATAGATATAAATAGTTCGACTATCGACTGAACTGAAGAAATTTTCACTTTACGTGCAGTTTATTCGAAATGTATTTAAGAGTAAATTATCCTCATTTTCAAACATAATCTTGGGAATTAATCTGAAGATGCGTATTCCAGGTTAGATATTTATCTTCAATAATTTTAATTTCATTTCTTTTCGCCGCCGGGGTGTTTAATGCGTATGTCGGCGTTTTGTAAATACACTAATGTCGCTGGTGTAGCTTCCTTCTATAATAATAAACAGAATTCGTTGACCACAGTTTCAAAAGAAGCATTCTTGAAGCTTAAACAGTAATCCAGATGACGAAAATTAACTTTTGTTGTTGAGAATATTAGAAAGTTAAACTAAAATATATCGGAACCGGTCTAGGTAAATTCAAAAATATTCTGAGTAAATCAAAAAAAGTACAAGAGAATACAAACATTTACCAAAATCGTGAAAATACTTTTCAAAAGGTCTCCATCCACTTTAGAGAACAGTTTAATTTAATTCTGCATGATTTTTTAATTAAGACATTTTCAAATTAACTTCGCTTTCCATAACGCGATCTATCATCTGAGCGACATCGGTCATCATATATTGATACATCTCCTTGACGCTACGATTGGCCTTGCGAATAAAAAAAAACGCCAGACTTTTGTAAAATTCCACTACGCACATGGGTTTGAAAGAACAAATGCGTTCATATTGTTTATTAGTAACGCTATACATAGAGTCAAATGTAGCTTCGATGAAAGTTGAGTTAATAATATAAAATTATATCGGCTTCAACTCTCAACATTTAAGCATAGTCTTTTGCGCATGCAATGTACTTAGTACAAAACACACAATAAAGGACTTGTAATAGTTAAATTTGACCCAACATTAACATTCTTGAAGAAGGCGGCAGTATTTTCAGCATATCTATGGTTCACTAATAAGAAAATTTTCATTGCTCCGCCGGCGGAAAAGAACGGTATTTGTTAAATGATCAAATAGTTGAACTTGACGCTCGTTTAATTCATTTTTTGCATTAAAGTCTGGACTGAGGCTGACATTTATCAGAACAGACAATTAATTGGGCCAATTTCGCGAATAACTAAACCATTTATTTAATATACGGCATGTTTTTTGTCGAAATTTATAAGAATTGACTTTTATCCGAAAGTTCAATAATTTGCGATAAGATATAAATGTAAAACTCCGTGCTTACGTCAACAGCCCACATTGCCATGGAAAGCTTTACTATAGCGTCAAATACTTCGTCTACAACGCAACAAACGAATGGAGAGGAATAGGTTTTCTAATTTTCTTGAACAAGAAAATGCAAACGTTAAATTAAGAAAAAATAAAATAATTGGAAAGCTCGTAACAGCTAATTAGGCGAATAGGTAAAAAAAAAAATGGAATAGAAGAAATTTAAAATGTAAAAAATATAGAGAAGCAGATAATAACTATAAACGGAAATATTGCAAGTAATAATATTGTAAAATTTGTAATTAAAAGTTAAGGACGATTGAAATGAAGATTGATTGAATGATTTTTTAAACGAAGTAAATTAGTTCCTTGAGATGAGCACCAGTGTGTGCATTGCAAAGATCGCTAAGCTTTTACATACAACAGATAAGAAAATTGTATTCGGTCGTGACCGAAGAGCAAAAGTAATAACCAAATTTTCATGCCATATAATAAGGAGTGGGCGCCACTGATTTTTTCTATTTTTCCAATAAAAGTTTTTGTCGAATAGACGTGTATGGGCTGCTGGCGCCCCCTTTGGAAAGTTTAAGTCACTTCCAAATTTTTTCGAATATTTACAAACGATATCTTCATTTTCGCTAACGGAAAAACCGCAGATACTATGCAGTTGGAGAGACGGACAGATGGACAAGCGAAAAGACGGACATGTTTAGGCGCATTCCAAATTGGAAAGTGGCTAAGAATTTTCACACTTTATAACGAAGATTGTTTTCGCACGTTATGTATGTATAAAAAAAATTATACTTTGATACACTATAATATTGGATAAGCGTGGTCAATTCTCTCCATTTTTGTGCAGGTACTACAGCATCACTCATAGAATATGCGTTCGACTTGCTGTACATTTATCTGCTATAGTAATAAACAAAAAACCAATTGTTCATTCCTTTTGAAAAGCAGATGTTCTCAGTTTTCTGTGGACTGTGGTACTGTGATGGTGTATCACGATGGATTTGGCCTCTTTTCAATACCAACCTGCTTACAAGATAAGGGGATAATGGCTCTAAAAATGGATAACGGATAATGATGAAGGTTGGAAGCATTTTTTAGAACGCATGACCATTTTTAGGGCATACGATTTCCTCATATTTTTGTTCAAGCATTGAATTATTGCGAGTACATTCGATAGCCAAAATCTCTTCATTAAACTATACTTCACGTGCATTGAAATCAGCATTCTTCTTTCAACTGAATGCACAATTTTTTCATTCATTCATTTCAAAATTTCTTTTTTTGTCTATCAGGTCTATGGTAGATTTCCTGTTAGTGAATACGTTTTCTCGAACGTTTCTAAGAGCTACCTTTATGAAATTGTTTACAAATCAAAGGTCGGCATAGCGAATTCAAAAGAAAATATATGAAATCGAAGGGTGGTATAACGAATTCAAAAAAAAAAACATAAAATTGTTTACAAATCGAAGGTGATATGTCAAACGGCCCCTACTCTAAAACCTACCTTTAAATAAATATACCTACAGTAATTCTATAATTTTAAAGTTCATCTATGGCAGTTACATGGAGTAGCCGTTGAGTATTGCGGTTTAAATTCGAACTTTTAAGGCGTATTTTTAAAATCTCCCAGCACCTGCATGCCACGTTTTCGCGTAATTTTTTTTTTCTGAGTGTTAAATTTTTAAAAATTCTTAGATTTTTTTAAATTATATGATTTACCACATAGCTGGATGTAATAGATTTTTATGGCCACGTAATGTCTCTTCGTAGGCATCACCATTGTCGGCCACCAAATCGATAAGATTTTCTAAAGTTGTTGGCATTTGGATTGTTATGCCATCATTGTCGTTCGTGTTGGTTATTGTGTCGTCTGAAAGAACTACTGAAAAATGCCTTTAAAATCGTGTTCACAGAGTCTACAATTTGTTTTCATACAATTCATTATACAGAAAAATGCATGCTTTTTTTAATACAGTAAATTTAGATTTGAAATAAAATAATAAAATAAAAAAATTTGAAAGTTTTTCGGAAGTATTTAAAAACAAAAAGTTTAATTGACTTCTTTATGATGAAAATTATAGAAAAACAATATGCGCAATATAAAAAATAAATAGCTCACCTTGTTGATGCAGTTGTACAGAATTTTGCTGATGGTGAAATTGTTGCTGCTGCTCATGTTGCTCTTGTAGTTGGTTATGATCTTCGAGGGTCGATAAATCAGTTAAATTTTCTGTTTCGGTTGTCAGTTCATGCTGCGATTGAGTTTGTGGTTGTGTTTGGCGTTGTATTTCTGTTGACTGTTGCTGCATTGTTTGCATTGCCTGGATGTTAAGTCCTTGTTCGTTAACCGCCGGTATTTGTATAGCTTCCAAATTCATTTGTGGCTTAGGTATGGCATTTAAATCAAATTCTTTTGGTTGTGGAATAGTATTCAGTTGCAATGGCTCCGGAGCTGGTATCATATATAGCGGTGTTAAATTAGCTAAGGCAAGCGGTAATTGAGGAGGTGGGGGCGGTGGTGGTGCGCTGGCTGTTGTCACAGCGTGCATAGGCATCAACATTGCGGCAGCTGCCGCAGCAGCTGCAGCTGCTGCTACTGTAGTTGGTGGCGGTGGTGGTGCACTAAAATAAGCTGCAGCGGCAGCAGCCACGGGATGTGTCGGTATTGTTGACGTTCCGGTTCCACCTAGAGATTGATCGGGTACTGCTTGCGATATGAGTAGGTTTTGTGATGTTATTAATGCCGGATTAAATGCAAACGTCACGGGCGGTGTAGGAGGTGGTGGTATTATAGTTCCTACTTGTTGCTGGTATGGTTGCTGCTGTGAGTTATGTATGGCATCTGTTCTTGTAACAACAGCTGTTGTTGTTGTCTGTGTAGCCTCAGTTATTGCAATGGCAGTATTGTCAGCACTGCTGGCTTCTTCATCGACATTAATGGAAACTTTAGATTCCGTCCTACAATTATTAGAAATAATAGATTTCCTCTTCTTTATTTAGAAGTCGATTAATCAAATAGAAAATTCCGCTTACACTGTAGTCAATAATGGTTTTGGTTGCTGCTGTTTTTCTAAAATCTTTTTGAAATTCTCTAAAAATGAACCATCATTGCAGAAGCTATTTTGCACTTTAATTGGTGGTTGATCAACAATTGGTGGTGCCGGAGTGGTACGTTTCTGACCAAATATTATTTTACCGGTTTTACCCGTGAAACTATTTAAGGACGATGACTTGCATGAGATTGACGAAGCATTGATAAATGCAGATGGTTCGGCATCCATTTTTTTAACATCTACTGACGGGTCATCTGCCCTTTCTTCTTCTTGAGAACTTTCCTCATTGCTATTCTTCAACTTAGCAGCTAACGATTGAGCAGCTGCTACCGCTTTAGCTAGTTCGGAAGTACGCTGTTTTTCCAATATCTCTTGACGTTTTTTCGCTATCAGTTCCTCTTGTTTACTCATCTGAGCGAAACGATCCACACGAGCAGAATTACGCTGAGACATGTTTCATAAAAGCAACTTTTTCTATAAATAATGCAAGCCCTCAGATATGTTGTCTAAGTTTTGTGCAAAATTTTTGTTTAAATAAATGCTCTTATTCTTTTACTAAAGTTCCCTCTAACATATAAACATATAAGACATTTAAAGAACTCGACGATTCATATGAAAATTCAGTGAATTTATTATGTAAATGAATTTCCTTTTATTTTTTATTTTTTTCTACGTGAAAATCACGAAAACTTTAAGACATTAACGACAGAGTCGTATATTGCAGCAATAATATATGAAGGCATTGCCATTTAGAAAATCATTACACTGCAATTTAAATTCTTGTTTGTTCAATGTAATTGAATAATGTCGTGGTTTTTAACTACCTATTAATAAGAATTTACGAATTTATAAAATGTGAAAGTTATTTAAATGTCATTAGAAAACTACTAACTTCGGTTTTTCCAGTCAGTTGCGTCATTTGTTGCCCACTGTTAGATACACATTTGAAAGATTTTTCCGATATCGGTAGATTAATCTTCTCGAAGATTGCCTTAACCTTAAACAAATGATATTCAAAAAGTAGAAACTGTTTTGTGATATATAAAGAAAAGCAACTCTAAAGCGAGTTAGAACAATAGGATGTTCTTCCTATTTTCGGGTTGGGAATCCAAGTTTGTCGACGTATTACAAAATTTTTGGGAATTGACGGATCACATGATTTTGCATATATCCAAGCTAATAAAACAAGAAGAGAACGAAGTACACCAAGAAATGATGATCGTTCTTTCTTAATTTTAAAGCTATTTGTGTAGATTATGTTTATCTTACACTAATGTACATCTTCTTTTATATTATTTGTAGATTTGTTTTATACGCATTATTTTGTAAGATATGACAAACAAAAAGACAATTGTTATGAGAGACATAAATAGTAATTTTTGGACATATAAGCCATAGATCTATTGGCTTAGTCCATCTCTGTTCAACATACCAAAAAAAAAAATAGTAATTTTTAAATTATGGATCAATCAATACACAAAAAGGGTCTCGATAGTGTAATGAAATTTAAGCGGATTATGAGGAGTATCAAAATTGTTATTTTTTAATACAGCCTCATTGTGCTCCTCTGAGGCGTCATTTGCGTTTTCGGTTTAAAAACTTCCAAGTAATAACGCAATGGGCAGCCGCGTTACCATATTATTTTACAGGAAAATGTAAATAAAAACGTGTTTTCCAGACATGGTGTAATATAAAAGTAAACGAGTGAAAGTATGGTTTAATATAACGAGTAAATAGGATTGTTTATTAATTAGGTATTTGTAGAAATCTATATTAGATATATTTTTAGCTTGATGAACTCAACATTAGTGTAAAATAAATTTACTTAAATTTAAAATAATGTCATATATTCGTGTGCCGTTCGATTTTATGACGTAAATCATACTTCAGTAGCTCTATCGGGGCTCCCCGTTTTTTTCCTCTCCGTCTGTTTGTTTTTCGCTTTCGTGTGCGTCGTGTTCTTTTTGCTTTATTTGTACCGTATGATTTGTCGATTCCCATAAAGCTTAATAAATAATAGGCAAAGTTGAAATCCCAGCCAAAAATAGGAAAAATTCCTCATTGTGTCAGCCACCTTAAAGAAGGAAACTTCTAAAATTGCCGCCTTGGACTCGCTTTTTACTACTGTTTAAATTGTGATTTCACTGGTGTTTTTTTTTTTAGAGTTTCAATTTATTTTTATTATTATTATAATTTATTTAGACCAAAAAAAAAAATAGGTTGAGCACTAGCAACTAAATCTAGTCTCTTTTTCTTTAGGTAGATTAGATCAATAGTTTAGTCGCTTTAATAAAGTTAAAAATTTTGTTGAGGCTAAGTTCTAAAGGTATTTTAAATATTAGAAAAGCTTTGGCGTTCACATAGTATACGTTTAATCGCGTGTAGAAGGAGTAGCATTTTTACGTCGATGTGTTGCAATCGCATGCTTAAGTCGGTTTCTTTCAAATGTTTTGGCCTCGATTTTTCCGGCATTGATTATCTATAGAGATAAAATGAGATTCGGATTAACGTACGAGTACTGTCTATGATAGTACTCTCGAATTTTTTTTGTCATTTTTCTCTTTAAACTTTTTCCTAATATACTTTTGAAGATCAAACTTTTCTATTGTGTCGTCCATAATTAAAGGTTCGGAAGCTGCCGATTTGGCTGCTAAGTCTGCCTTCTCAAGACACCGAAATGCCTTGGAAACCAAAAAATATTAGTTTTGTCTCCGTGTGCGGCGATAGTATTTCTGCTTTGGTTGTGTTTCGGTTGCAATTTAAGGGGTTACAGATAGCTTTTATGAACGTCAACAGCTTTAAGTTTAGCTTTGTGAGCAAGGCTCATGGCCTGAAGAATAGATCCAACTTCAGCTGTGAATATTGATGGACATAGGTGTAGGATGTGATTAGTTTGGACTTGGCTTGCTGCATCTGCGACCATGTACGCAGCGGACAAGTCATCACTTTTAGAATCATCTGCAAAAAGAGGATGCCAGTTTCCAATGATGTTAATTTCCAAAAGATTATTTTTAGATGTGATTAGTCCTGTGAAGAGGAGATTTGGTGTGCTTTTTTTGCTTATTAACAGTGAAACGTTGCAAACGTTGTCGTTTAAGGCCCACGGCGGATTAATCCCACATGTTTGAAAGACGTTTAGGTGGATGTCGATTTATTTTGCAACATCTACGCAGCCGATAATGATGACAATGATTTTTTTTCCAATAAGAAGTTTTTTAAGATCTTCGCCAAGCGCTTTTAAACGTATTTCTTACTTATAAATCATACCGTCGGCTTTAAACTTCAAGTTTTTTCCTTTGTTTTTCAATGTTGCCAGAATATTTAAATCTATGTTTAAATCTATATTGGCGGAAATAGAGCCTGCTGCGCATAAGTTTTCTTTAAAGCTAAGTCCAATATGTAGAATTTGATAATAGGACAATCAATGCAAAAACGTAACTTATGGCTACCGGTATTTAGTTTTGCATTCAATCTATTTATTAATAAAAAGGTGTTGTCTTCTTTCTGTAGGTAATATATTTTCACAGATAACACAAGCTTTGTATATATATATATATATATATAAATACAGAGAAGAACCTTTTATTTAGATTTAAATGACTAGAGCTGGAAAGTTTTGTTAATCAAGAATTAATTACTTCTTTTATAACTAAGTACTAAGCTGTAAAAACAATTTCGGCTAACTACAATGATTGAAAGTTTTGTAAATGTATTTGAACTAAATGTATCTACATATATAAATCTACTTTTTCGTCATATATTACATAGATAATAGATTAAAATATGGCCTGACTACTCAAGTTCAATACTATATTTAAATGCACCTTAAAGGAAATTTTTTCTATCCTTTTTTGTTTCACACTTAAAAAACTTTACGCATGATTAAACCTTTTAACATATCAAAACTGTTGCCATCGGGATAAACGGTCTCAAGAACGCCGTTTGTTAATTTAACTTTTAAATAACCACTATCGTCAATTCCCATGACTCGAGCCTCTTTCTTAGAACCTTTCTCATCACAAATTGAAACAGCTTGATCGCTACAAAAACAAGTTTATAACAATAAAAATATTCTTCATATATTGTGACCATATTTACCTATGCAACCATAGCGAATAATACAATTTATAGAACGTTTCAAAGTCTCCACTTTTTACTAATTCCAAAATCCTCTCAATTTCATTGAATATCAGTGCCAACAGCTCTTCATATTTTAATGTCGGCAATTTTTGTTGATTTGCACGATTATAATCACGTATCATGTCATTGATACAAGTAGTCGGTATATCGTTGTCTAGGTTAAGACCGCATCCGGCATTGACGACGGCTTCATGCGTTAAAAAAGTATGCAAACACAAGCCACCGATTTTGTTAATTCCGTAAGCGTACACATCGTTAGGCCACTTTAGGCGTATGTCCAAATTCTGGAAATAGGAAAAAAGAAAATATTGTCGTTTTTATTACCATCATTGAAGCATATACTTATGCTAATTCTCTCTATATTTCCCTGCTAAATGGCCGCAATACACTCTTGTGAGCTTATAAAGTTTTTATTTTTAATCTTTCAGATATAGAAGCTTTACAGGTTGAGACACAATACTTTAAGACTGTTCAAGAAGTACCAAAATTAATTAGGGCTTGTAAAACAATATTATAGCCTTTGTTTTTAAGCAAGTTGAGGCCGAATAAAAGAAACAAATTTCCGCCACCAGAATATTTTTCTGTTCTTTGCAACAGCTTAAGCACATACATACACCGCTATTTATAATTTAACCCTAGCAATCAAAACACAGTAATTTGTCATTAAAGATTGTTTCAAGCGACCATAGGAATCGTCGATGTTTAGTCGATTGCTAGAAGAAATATCTGCCAGCTCGCATCTTGTTGATTAAGAATTATGTGACGGCGCTTGTGTGTTTTCCTCATTTCACCGAGAACTTCCAGCGAACAAATAGTTTTATACCGCTGAGAATTGACTGCCTTACATTCCCCTAAAATCACCCTTGCTATATATTCCCGATTTTTCTGGAAAAACCCGTCATTTTGTTGAGAAGTATTACGAGCTCTTGTATTTAGTTCATTTACCCCTACAATCGGTTACTGTTTACTTTTTTTAATACGCATAAAATCCATGTTTCGTTCGCTATTACAATCTTATAGATGTCCTTTGAAACTTTGTTTACATTAATCGACACCAACATCTTCTTGAGAATTTCCCATATTTCGTGGAAGGTGAAGGAATCTGAGGAAAGCAAACGTTTTTCACTGGTAAATATCACACATATGCTCGTGGAAATAATGTCTAAAGCAACCCCGCAGTATGTTATATGTCGATCTTACATTATCAGTTTTTACATAGCATTAATTTTTGGCACAGCCCCTGACTTTGGATTACCTCATGATTGACATCGATATCAAAAGCACAACGTTCGTGTCCAATAGCTATCGTTATTTCCCTTTAAAAATTCTCCAACACATAGATCGCATATTTAAGTTTTTGTTCTGATAAAACTTTTAAAAATCAATTCGCAAGATATATTGATTAATTAAACAGCTTAGGAAGGCCCTTATTAACTTCAAGTTATGATTTGAATGATTCGAAAGCTTGCGGCCGCTGATGCAATTATCTAACAATATATTATTCTCCGGTACTTTTTCCGCGGGATGGTGTTGATGCCTATATGTAGGTGACCAGATTGTCTCAAACGAACATATACTTAAAAGAACACACTTCAGCTTACATTTTTTGTGCAGATAGTTTTCTAATTCTTTGCTCGTGTAAAGAGTTATATTGATTTGAAAATGAGTGAAAGATTTGTGATCTGTAATATCTATGTGATCTTTATTTACTATCAAAAAGGAAAAAATTGTGCGAATTCTCGAAACCACGCAAAAAATGGCGGAACATCAATATGGGTCAATACCATGTCACTTCTTTATGTGATAGTTATTACTAAACTTTAGTTAATTTATTGAAAACTTGCGGTCATAAGCAGCCTTCTATAGATAGCACCTACTCGTTACCTAACACAACGCTGCTGTCTCATCTCTAGTTGTAGTTAATTATCGAATGATTTTGTGCAGCTCAAAAAGAGAAAAGAAGTACTTCTTTTTGTGAGGAATTATTTTAATAATTAAATATAAATAAATTTGCATTACAAATAAAACAATTAAATCAAAACCATAACAACTGAACCTAACACATCCATAAAAGTGTAGAAAAAGTTAATAGTCTTGAAACGAAAGTAGAAAAAGAAGAAGAAAAAATACAACTACGATTTTTTTTTACTCTATCTTGTTATTGTGCATACTTTTCTCAATGCACAACAATAAAACTGTGTGTATGTCAAGCATACAAATGGTCACAAGTGCAAGTCAAACAAAATAAAAACATCCTTTGTTTTAAAAATCGTAAATTTGAAACAATTTCAAAAGTAATACAATTGGTCTCCTCGTGAATAAATGTTAGATGATATTAGAGGGGCACTTATGTACATTTGGGACAAATATTAACAACCGAAAGTCGGACTAATGGCCAATTTGTGATTGGTTGCTATCAAATAAACTTTATGCCTAAACGCAAACGTTGTTTTTCTCGAGATATTCAAGGTATACATTTTTTCCATTTGGTATTCGCTTTTATACCTTATTGTTAATAAAGGTTTACTACAGCTATTGATTGATAAATACTAAAAGAAAAAATCGATAACAATATGTAAACGATTGTTTTTGGGTTTATTGCTAGCGAGAAGTAGATTTTTAGTCTTATATGCGCTACTAAATAAGAGAATGGATTCTGTAATATTTCTACGTAAACCCGGGCGAAAACTCGTCAGCCAATAATGTTTCCTACTTGTATTCTGTGTCACTAACTTTAAAAACAACAACTGCAAAGAATTCGGATGAACACAATCATCCCTCTTCTTCTTACAGACAAAGAAAGGCAAGAAGGGGGCAACATAAATAAACCGAAAATTAAAGTAGATCGAAACTGAAAATGTTCTCAGTCAAGGGCAACTTTTCTATGTTACAATGAGAATTCGGATGTGCTCTCGAATATAATTGGTAGAAGCTATATTCTTTATATGTTTATAAGAACTAATCATATTCTATTTTATAGTTATTTATAAATACATCTACGCTATGACCAGCGCCACCAGTACCCAGCTAAAAACAATGACACATATCCATGCAACATCTCCAACGTCGTCGACATCGGTTTCAACCATTGGCACTCCCACACGTACATTGATTTCGAATGCTTCTGCAACACTACCCGTTAATGACTTGGATGTTATACAAGATATGATTGACTGTTCGGCGGATCGTTTGGAAGGACTAAGAACTCAATGCGTAACTAGTGCTACATTAACACAAAGAGAAATACGTAGCTTAGAAACGAAACTATTACGTATGTTTTCTGAACTCCTATTGACGAAAAGCCGTTTGAATGAGCGGTTGCCAGCTAGTGGGTTGCCGCACACTTCGGGCAATGAATTGAAACAATGGCTACGTGTTGTTGGTCTGTCTCAGGATTCTTTAGATGTTTGTCTAACGCGCCTTTCCACTCTGGAACAACTTCTGGAGTTAAATGATCAGGAATTGAAGGAATTGTTACAACATAATCGACAATATAGGGAAGAAGAAGTACGGCGTCTTACGAAAGCTATGGAAAATTTGCGTAAATGTAAAGACATGCTTAGTGTGACCAGCGATAATGACAACACACATGACAAATTAACAACAGCTGCTATAAAAACTATTATTGATGTTTCGGAAAAATCTGCCGGTAATAATACCAAAGAAAGTCGCGAACAATTTATAGAACAATTATTTTGGGATTCTTGGGATCACCGTCATCATCACCATCGTGGTAGCGTAGGTAACATTGGAGTGAATGCTTCACCTCGCGCTCAACGTTTGATTGTTAAGCAGGTTGCTAAACAACAGCAACAGTTCCAACAACATAAACAGAGTATGTCTACTAGTCGACAATCACCGTCAAACGATAGCTTTAGTTGTAAATCAAATGCTGCAGAAGATTCATCCAATACTCAAGGATCATCTTTGACTTTGGCGCTGACACCCTCACCTCCTAACTCACCTTTCACACCAACTAGTATTTCGGCGAGCTTTAGCAATATTTTAAGTGGTAGTGGTGGAGGTAGTTTGAACGGCACCCCTTTAAAGGGCCGAGTAACAACCACTCCGCCTCCTTTGAAAAAACTCTTCACTGCTTTAAATACTAATCATCCCTTAACACCTACACATACAGCGTTAATACAGCAACAATCTGGATGTGTTGAGCATCATATCTCAATACCACTTTCAAAATCCAAGTCAAATGAGTCACAGGCAACTTTGGAGTCTTCTTCGTCAGCTTCTACCATTATTAGCTCACCGTCTTCTTGGGCAACCAACAATATGAAATCATATCCGGTTAGTGGATGTAATACACGCTCACGCCTTAACACTGATCCTAGCCCTGATAGTCATTCTTCGGCTAGTTCCGAGTTATTTGTGGAATCATCCAACAGTAGCAACAACAATAGTTTACAAGTACCTCTGTCTCCATGTACTCCTGTCGTCAATCATTTAGGTATGAGCCACAGTATTGCTCACCGGTTCAATACAGTTTTCAAAATGACTTCCACTACCTGCGATTTGTGCCAGAAGCCTATGTTTCTGGGACGTAAATGTAAAGAATGCAAATATCGTTGTCACAAATTATGTGAACCTGATGTACCGCCATCTTGCTGTCTGCCTCCTGAATTTATAGACGAGTTTAAAAATGCCATTAAAGACCAGGTGGGCTACCATTCCACCCTTCAGCGTACGCCGCCCATTTTAAATACTCACTCGCCTAATCAAAGCAGCAGTTACGGTACCATAGGTAAAGGACGCATAGGCATCACATCAGCAAGACATCAAAAACATGGTTGCACGGCTAGCGGAATGCATGCAGACAGCAGTTCGCCAGGTTCAAGTTGTAACAGCTCTAGCCCTTCAAGTCCAGCTTTATTTAATTTGCAGCATCAGACCCCCGGAGTAACCGATGGGCCGTGTACCACAGTAAGTGGCAATTTAATGAGCTCCTCGGCAGGTGGTAGTTCTAGCACGAGTTCCAATGTGCTTTCTACCCCTTCCTCGCATAAGAATGCCAACCAATTTAATTTTCCCGATGTTACGATAACCTCAAACTGTAATCATCCAGCTAATGGAACTACAGAAACTATACTTTCCTCTGCTGCCCAAAACTCTAATCACCCTCCTAGTCAAGAAATTACTGGAAGCAATAAGGCTTCTTCCTACACGAATAATAATACTTCAGTGTCGATAACTATGCCCGGTTCAATCAGTATTACTCCTGCTACAAATAATAGTGTGATGAACAGCGGTCCATCTGGTTTCTTTCAACGCAAACTTAGCTCTGCAGGGATTGACAAGAGAGGCCCGTTTATTGAAATTTCTGATACCCATAAATCTAACGACAGCGACAAAACTGTCTCTTTATCGGGTAGCACTTCCGCCAGCACTGATTCCGATCGCACGCCGGTGCGGCTGGATTCCACAGAGGACGGCGATTCGGGAAATTGGCCTCGACAGAATTCTTTATCCCTCAAAGAATGGGACATAGAATATAGTGACTTACAAATGTTGGAAATAATTGGGCAAGGGCGTTTCGGTACAGTGCATCGTGCTCTCTGGCATGGGTCCGTTGCCGTAAAATTGCTCAAGGAAGACTACCTGGATGATGAACACATGCTAGAAGCTTTCAAATTGGAGGTGGCTAACTTCAAGAAGACACGTCACGAGAATTTGGTACTGTTTATGGGTGCCTGCATGAATCCTCCTTATTTGGCGATTGTAACCTCTCTATGCAAGGGTAACACTCTATATACTCATATACATGCGCGCCGTGAAAAGTTCGTCATCAATAAAACCACTCTCATAGCACAACAAATTACTCAGGGAATGGGTTATTTGCATGCTAGAGGTATTATACACAAAGATTTACGGACAAAGAATATTTTTCTGGAAAACGGTAAAGTAATTATCACAGACTTTGGTTTGTTCAGTTCAACCAAGCTACAATACAATGACCGAGGCCTGGGAGTACCTATCGGTTGGCTGTGCTATATTGCACCCGAATTAATGCGTTGCCTGATGCCACGTAAACTGTCTGACGAGATTCTACCATTTTCGTCAGCCTCTGACGTCTATTCATTTGGGACTGTTTGGTATGAATTGCTGTGCGGAGAGTTCCCTTTCAAATCCCAACCACCGGAAGCTGTTATATGGCAAGTAGGTCGTGGCATGAAACAAACATTGGCCAACTTGCAAACATCACGTGATGTCAAAGATGTACTTATGCTATGCTGGCATTACACAGCGGATGATAGACCTGATTTCCCAAAATTGTTAACCATGTTTGAAAGATTGCCGAAAAAACGCTTAGCTCGTTCTCCTTCACATCCTGTACAATTATCACGTTCAGCTGAAGCAATATTTTAAAAACTTCGCATAACGCATTTCGATGCCTTCAACAAATTCAAATTAGTTTAAGAGAGGTAAGGAGTACAACAGAGAAATTTGTATCATCATCTTATAATAGCGTAACCCTGCAAACATGGGTAGATATTTAAATATATGATATGAAAAGAGCCTGCAGAGAGAAAGAAAGTAAAGCATTCCCACTACTCCAAGCAAAAAGGCTGCGTTGAAGCATATTTTAGCTACAAATTTGTATAACATTAGACTTATATAGATGTTAGCATTAAAAACAGACTTTATGTACACTGAATATTGACTACAATATGAATATAAGTTAAACAATATGGGTGAAGCATCCATGTAATGCGTGTATATGTACATTTGTGTAACTAAGAAAAAATATAATTTAATAAATAATTACTCAAGAAGGTAAGATTACATCATGTAGAGCACATTAGAATGCAATTATCGCAAAATTAGGAAAAAATATAACGACAAAGAAAGAATAGAAACCTTGAGAATTGTGACTACTATCAATAGCTTGTAATCAATAATTAAAAAAACCTATAATGTTATAAAATCATGCACAGTGAAAAGCAATGGTTTGATTTAAGTGGAAGTGCCTTATTCTTTCTTTACAATAAGCAAACAAGATATTGTGCGTAATGCAACTTTGAACGCCAGTTAAATAATTAGAGATGATGTGAATGTAAGCATTATTATCTGAAGATACTCGATAATCTGCTCGGGCCATAAGAAATGACAGCGTCAAAACATCTGCAATTGTTACTTCTTTCTTAAAATGCGTTGAAAAGCAGTTATTCGTGAACCCTTTTTAGCCAGTAATCCGCAAATGTGCTTACATTGCACTTACACAATTAAAAACACAGCGTCTTAGGTCCCCTGCATAGTTGAGTCAACAAATTCACTTTTGTGGTCTTTTGAGGTCAACCGATTCGATAAATATACGGCTTGGGAGCGCTTCTTAAATAAAGAACGACCACTATACCATTTGCATATAGATATATTGATATCCTCTTTGAGGCGTCAAGTCACTGGCTTGACTAAATATAGCAAGGTGTTTTACTCAGCAAGCCCATGCCTTGTGGTCGCTTGTTGTAAGTTGTTTTGCAATGAAGAACATAACCATTGATAGTGAAGTAATAAAGTCTTGTTAGGAAATCCTCGGTAAAGAAAAACTGGGTGCAATTACTAAATTCTTATTTCTGTGTTTTTTTTCTACCGAAAATCAAGAAGTATCACCAAAATGAGATAAATAGACTCTATACATAGTTTTAGATATTCTATTCTAACCTGCAGTACTGAGTTCTTTTAGGCGGTTGAAAGCCTCAGGCAAATAAAAGAAAAAAGGGCATCTCTCTTAATCATTGCAATCGAGATGTAATGTGCACTTACCTTATACAACTCATGGCATTTGAGAGCGTTAACCATTGCGGCAGCTACAATGTGTTGTACTAAAGGTAAACGCCTCCCCAGAGGTGTATTCAGAGGTAACCGAATTTGTAAAGAAAACATAACACAGCCAAGAGGGCTAAGCCACTGAAAGAATATAAAGAACATTCGTTATAATTGAGAGAAATTTTTTATTTAGTTTGAGGCGAATTTCGTCTCCACTATCAACCGATTGCACCAACGCAAATATATTTAAAAAATTGCAAAAAGTTGATCCCTACAGAGATTCTTAAATTAGTCACTTAAATAAGTTCGGTAAATATATGTATGTAACGGTGCATGAATAAATTCAAAAGTTTTTTTTTTTTAATTATTAGCAGGAATGTATTGAAAATTTATTTCAGAAGTTTCTGCTCTATTATGATGTGAATTGTATGTGCATCAAAATGTTCTCCACCCTCTAAACGTGGCCATATGCAGCTTCTCTAACTTATGGCCTTGAATTACTTCAAACTAATTTGAAAGTCCGCCCACGAGTACACTGCATTGATTATAAATAAAATCGAGGAAAACTCCATAGGAAATGATTCTTATATCTACAATATGTGACTTTTTAGAACCTTACAAATTATGAAGGTATGGTCACAAGAACAAACCAAGACTACAACTACCAATTTTATTTTTTCTGGAGAGTTTTTGCGACTATGGCGTATTAACAAGAAAAGGGAAGAAAAAAAAGAACGATTCCTCGTTGATGGGCATAAAAACAATTTCTTCAAATTTTTTGTTTACCTGGTTTTTATCGCGACCCATTCCAGCAGTTTGTTGACGTGCTATGACCACAATACCGTCAGTTAAATCCAAATCTTTAACTACATGCTGAGAGCTGCTCAGAATCGGAGCATAAATCACCAAACGTCCAATGTACGAAGTTTTTAAATTCTTTCAAATAAAAGTCTGAATTTAAAAAGAAAATTTTGCGTTTATAAGAAATTAATATGCACTACCTCAAAATAATCGACCGTAGAGAAATCTTCCGGACATGAGTGTATTAGTATAGGAAGCATATCGTTGGCAGGTTTCGGCAAATTTTCATTGGGTCCACAAAATTTCAGAGTTAACTTCGGTGTATGGATTAAATTATTTTGATCACATTTTTCTTTCAATTTTTCCAATAACTCGAATTTGGCCTGAAATTAATTTTATAAGCAATTAATACTACAACTATTAATATATGTTAGGCTTACCTCATGTTTGCCCAAAAAGTAAGCATTTTGAAATACGGTTTTCATAGTCAATCCATTGAAATCGTTCTCTGATTTTACATTTAAGCCTAAATGCGTTCTTAAAAGATCGCTAAAGATCTCATGACGTATAGTTTCATTTTGTTTTAATGTACGATATTTATTTTCATCGGCTTCAAATTCATTTGGATTAATTTCCAAATGCACCTATTCCGGTATACGAAAATATACGGAAATTATTTAAAATTGCGCTTATATATGGCACAAAGGTCAAATACCTGAGAAAATACCGCAACGCCACCGTTTTTTCTATTCTGAGCCAACAATAAGCTAGGGGTATTCCAAGTTTCCTCGGTGCCCAGGACTTTAACATCTAGTTGATGAGCAATACCTTGCAAATCCATCAATTCAATGGACCTTGGTAGACACACTAAAGCTCTAAGCGTCGTGCAGTGTATGGGATTATATTAACATATTTTTCCAAAGGAAAAATAACCACATACACACACGCCCGCCATTTACACCATTTACATTATAAACACAGACATGATTTTTTTATGGAAAACACATACAGCCAACGAGCAAGTAACACGGTTGTTTAAAAATTTCAAGAAGGAAAAGAAAATCACGCAAAAGCGTAAAAAGATGGTTTGAAAAGAAGTGTTAAAATAATAAAATATGATTTGAAAAAGTAATAATATATCGGTGCGTTAACCGATTTACTTTTATACCCTCAAATCAGCTCAGGTTTCGATGACTCTAAAATGAAAGTACAACGCTAATATAGCTTAAGTTGGCATAAAGCATGCAAAATCGAATATATAATTTGTATCCAACTAGCAACTTGTACAATTTTTACAACCATCTTGGAATCGACCAGTTTTTAATTATGTCAATCCATGAAGAGTTCCTTTTTTGAATCGATTTTCGAACCTTTCTCAATAACCATCGATAAACAGAAATATTCTGATATGCGAACTAATTTGAAAAATTTGTGAGATCTTTTGAAGTCCCATCTGTATAGAAGCTGTTACAAGAAACAAGCCTTACTGGGGAAAGTTTGGTTTATATGTTTTTCAAATCCCCCCGTTGTGATGAAAATTGAGTTCTTAGAAGGCAAAAATATATAAGTTTCGGTATTTTATAACTAAGGTAGAAGAAGTGTTGTATTAAGCGAAATGGTGTAACATGCTTAATAGTTCGTCATGTACGACGACCGCGTTTTCATTTTTTGTAATGTTAGTTTGAGGATATGTAATAGTGGAAATAAACTGTGAACTTTTATTAACGTAAAAAAAAAAGAGACAAAAATTTAGACATTTTCGTAGCTGCGCTAAAACCAGGCTTAACATTTATAAACATGTAAAAAAACTTTTTTTTGGGAAAAAACATTACGTTTTTGCATGCTGCGCATGATTCAAACTTAAGATAAACAAAAACTACGTCGAAAAAGTATTCCTTTTCAATTGAAGCATAAAACTCTTATAAAACGATTACTACGGGAATGATATTATAGACAAACCCATAAATAAATGCAAAAATAACTTACGGATGTTGAGAATTTGCACTTGAACCTTCATCGCTCTCCGTAGAGAAGTTCTTTCGCACGGGTGACGGTTGATAGCAAAAGATGTGATGCATCATTTTAACTTTGTGCCATTTATCATAAGAGAACTGAACTAATTCATGTTCACGTACCTTAAAAATAAAATGAGTATTAATTTCTAGAGGAATAATATTACCGAACGAATATTTTAATACCTCAGCTGTACGATAGTTGGGCAATATAAAATGCAAAACATCCGAACATAGTGACAACACCTTTCCACCACGTAAAAAGTAATCAACAAATATTTCTCCGAAAGCCGCCGGTATTGGACCACATACTACTAAGAGGAATGTGGTATCAGGCCAACATTTCTTTTCTACAATTTCTTCAGTCAAATTGTAAATGGTGTAACTGCAAGGAAAACTCATACTATATTATGAAATATGTTTCAGCTGCATGTACAAGTGGTGTTAGAGTTAGTTTTTCGATATTTAATGTGGATATTTGCCTCAGACTTTACGTTTGCAACAGAGTTCCTTTTCGAGAAAAGTTAAGAGCGTGTTTGCAACTACAACTACGGAGAATCACATAGCATAAATAAAGGGTGCTATCATATCTTATATCAAACATAACGTTTACTTAAAAATCTACATTACCCTATTCATTTTCCTTGTTTTTTGTTATTATATTATCTGCTCCAATGTTTTTAGTTTTCATAAATTTGTCTAATTTATTGTAAAAGCATAATAATAGTAATAGGTGCTTGCATGATTGTGACCAGCGATATATATTGGTGAACATGATAAAGTAATCGAAGTACCAATGTACACAACGGCGTAATTTGATGATTTTGGGTTTCGTCTACATAAAATAACAGTTTTCCATTTAGTGTTACTGAGGTAGTTGGACGCTAATCGTGGAAGTCCCTCTAAAAATATTATGATTTGCAAGTTCAAGTGCCTGAAAAGTGAAACAAAACAATTGTAAAGGTAATAATCTTCTCCGCTTCCTGTTTTATTAAAGCTAATAGAATTCATCGTTAGGATGTCTCAAGATTTGGGATCTAACGACCTTGTATGAAATCGTTAGTCACTAGCGAATTTGCCCCGATTTATATCGATCTATTCAACCAAGCGAAACGAAACAAGGACAAGGTTTTCCTTTTCAAAAATATGTAGTACAGTTGTAAGTAATAATTGAGCTGATCGTAGGAGTGTTTAGATCAATTGAAAAGACTTTTTTAATCTAAACCATATAACACAAGATTCCTTGAGGCTTTTCATTTAATAAGTACTTACGCATTCTCAGCTAAATTATCTTGCAGAGCTCCCATTGCACTCTGACGTGTGCTTGCACTTTCAGCATATACTAAAACATTTGGAGGTTTACATTCCGTCAAATTATCCTTAAGCCGTTTTACACTAGGACGCTTATTAGTGCCCTTAATGTGCGAAGGGGTTGCCGGAATATTAACCGTCTTTATAGACTTACTAAGAGAACCTGGCGGAGATGGAGCTACTTCAGATTTCAAAGCCATTTTACTGATTGTAGTAGTCATATTTTCATTGCATTTTCGCGTTATTGGTCTTTCTGGTGATTTTGACTTAGCTCTTTCATTTGTTTTCGCTTTTGCTGCGACCTGAGTGCCAGTGGCCGATTTTTCCGCATCTTTACCTACCGGAGATTTCGACTTAGAACGTTCAGCCACCTTGGCAGCAGCAATTTTCTCCAGCTCGCTAGATTTCTTGCTCGGATCAGTGGAAGCCTATAAGACAAAATTAAATTAAATTTTTTCATTGTTTCAATAGCTCACTTTATTTAATTTTAAACGTTGTTCATCTGCAGTTCCCGGCTTTTTGATTTCCGTTGGCTTAGCTCTGATGTTACTGGGACTTTTAATTACTATTGTTGTACTGGAATCAGCGCTTTGATTTGTAGGTGTCGCTTTGGCGTCTATAATTGACCCCTCTAAGTTCATAATTTGGTTTTTCAAGTCTTCTGCTTCAGGTAATATAAGGTTTTCAGCTTCTATCGAAACTTTAGGTATGGCTCCAGTCGGTTTTCTCTCTGTTATTGACGTGTCCCCTGTCTTGACTTCCTCCGCTTTTATTAGACCTTTTGTTTCTTTAATAAGTTGGGATTTTCGTTCGTGTTCCTCTAGCGGGATGTCTTGCTTTAAATAATTCCTTAACTCCTCAGATTTTTTTTCTAATTTCTCATTACCTTCGACCTTAGAAATTTTATTAGGAGATTCTCTTGGTTTATTTTCTTTAGCCACACGTTTTTCTTGAGGAATTAAGTCCGGTTTGATTATCCCGGTTTTAGCTTCAGTGCGGTGCTTGTTATAGGCATACTCTGTAGCCTGATTGGCTAAAACACTTAAAGACTTTAAATCTTCTAAATGTTTGGGCCATTCCATGGGTTGCATCTTACTAATAGTACGCGTGGGTTTACGTAGATGACTGGAAAGCATAGAATATGGTTGAGGTGTGCCTTCATCTCTGACAGCTGAAAAATTTAAGAAAAGGCGAAAAGAAAACGACATTTGTGTCAACATGTTGCTTGGTTAACGTTTGAAAGTAGAAAGCGATTTTGGTAATTATTTAAGAGCTTACACTCGATCCTTAGGAGAGTCAGCTGATCGTTAATGAGAAAATTGTTTTGTAAAAATGTGTGTATTAAGAGTTTGGTAAAATACTCAACGTTGGTTTCAACCAATACCGCCAAATGAGAATCTATTTTCCAAGCTAACAGCTTACCATAGTTTTCAATCTACAATGAGACAGACAGGAAAATCTAAAATGTTTATGATGACAATAAAGGCATATTTTTGTATTTATTTTGATATCCAGCCTTATACGCAGAAGAAATCTCGAATTCAACTAATAACATCATTTAAAAAATTAAAATACCAGCAGATGGATATATACTAGTCGCGAATACAAAATTAAAAATTTCTGACCATTTTTTATTTAAAACACAAAAGATCCAAAAGCGCATGGCTTGTAGAAATTTCATAGCAATCGTTCTAGATTTCTCGAATGGCTTTTGACATCACTTTCTATTGGCTTTTATTTGCATTATATGGAGGGGAAATTGATTACCATGATTACGGTAATAATTCAAGGACACACTTCCGAAGTTGCCAACAACTATGTGAGGAGTTAAACAGGTACTCCTTTGTTTCATAGATATCAGAAAAACAACCTAAAACATTATACTTTTTAGCTTAGTCTGGTTGGATAGTAAATCTTTTTTAAATTAGTGCGAATGTACGCAAAATCCAGAAGAACTTCATATACACCCAACTTTTATATACCGATCGATTCAAAAAGGATTTCTGAATAGCAACCCATATTTGGACTACTTAGACTAATTTTTCGGAACCCCAAGGCGCCCGTTAAGGAAGCACCCAAGTGTACTCATAACAGCTACATCTTTGTGTGGCAACTTTACTACCCCATGACGTGAAAACTGTAGGGTGCAAAGTAATGACGTATTTGATAGATATATGAATATTGGTAAAATTTATGTCCCAGAAGTTGTAAGTCTTCATTTATATAAACCGTGCCATAATAAGTATATTTTTAGACGCATGATTGTTTGTAAAAGCGGACGAGCGAACTTTGTGCAACCGAACGATATAAGGTATCTAATGTCAAAATAATGTTCCTACTTATTTTGTACAAAAGTCCATCGCTTAGTTTATAATAATCAATTATATTTGTAGCGAGATAAAGTGTGGAATTAGAAGACCTTCTCAATTCACCTGAATACTATTTCAACTGACGATGATTCAGAACTACTGCAAATGCAGGTTACCTTTCCAAATTCGAAGATATTGAAGATGAAACAGAATCGTCAAATAAAGACGGAAATAACAGCGAGAATGACAAGTCTCTATTTATAAAAGTCAAATAAAGTCAGTCACATTTTACCGAACAAGTAATACTTCTCACTTCCAAACGGAAAAAATTATTGAGGCTGTGTTTTTCACGGTCATACAGAGTACTTGAGCATATGACCCGCATGTACTTTGCAGGAGATTTATAATAAAAATATAGGCAAAAAAAAAAAAAACTTATTCGCGTTGACGCAAACACAGGAAAGATACAAAACACTATTTCAGACGCAAAAATTGCAAAAATTTTCTTATACGTCTTATGCTAAATGTATTATATATATATTTGTTAATGTGTTTGCGGCGCATGCAAGAAAAGAAAAATAAACACAATTTCTATTGAATTGCATTTCTTCCACAGATGGGATTAAAAAGTACAAAAAGTGCCTGGTCAAAATCCCAAGCCCAATGAACGTAAAATTAGATATACATGTTAAAAGTTAATTATTTACTTATGGGCGTATTATTAAAATGTTTGAGACGATTTTTGGATCGAACATGGATATGTGTTGTTACACATCTTCATCTTCGGAAATATCTCCACGGATCCGTAATTTATAGACAAAAAACATTTTTTTTTTGAAAGTTGCTTCATAAGCCGGCTGTTCTAATCGCGTCCACTGGTTCTTCAGCCTTGTCTTCCTGACCGATTAAGGTATTCCCGCGACAAATTTTTGCATACTGTTTCCGCCGCGACTATACCACGAAGAAAGTTAGTCAAATTCACCACCTTTGCAAATAATTTGTTTGTACACAACATCGATATTTCCACAAGTTATCTTCCGTCTTACGTTGTCCGACTATAACGTTTCACATTTAACACATTCGTTTTAACCCGTGTGGTTTTAAAATTTCCACTACTCAACTTTAAATTCTATTGTTGGGCATTCTTTGGTTTGCTTTTAATTGATGTAAGGAAGAAAAATTAGTACTGATTCTTCTATGTAGCGTGAAGTAACAAACTAATTCTTCCAACATTTGAGTTTGTGTAAACAAAGTAACCCACCTTTCAGTTTTGTCTGTCTAATTACGGTAGAAGAGAGGAAAGTAGCTTTGTCGTCCGTTGCGTCATCTTTTTCGTGGATTGGTCACAACGTCAAAAATTTGGGAAAAAGAGCTGCAATTTAAAAACGTACATGATCCATCCATCATTATGATTGTAATAAGCGAAAACTATGGCAAATATTAGTGTAAGAAATGAAAATCATTTAAAGCTTAAACAGATAGGCCACATGCAAAAATTTTAATTAACAACCTACAAGAAGTATGGAACAGTTTAGTCTAGTAAATAAACTAATACCGGCTGACTTCTGCTTTCTAATTCATATGTAACGATTTGAAAATTTCTCATAAGGCGAATATAATAACTTTATAAATTGTTTGATTTTGAGCCGTCACGAAAAATTTTCTAATAAAATTTATAAACGTTTGCAGGCATTTAAACTGTAAACGAAATGACACTTACCCTGACAATGTCGTTATTCATTTCTGATTTAAAACATGGTTCAATTTCAGTTTCTATCAACAGACGCAATTTCGTTTGTTGTTTGGTTTCCAAGCTTGTAAGTACTTGCTCAGGTGTTTCATCAAATGCGAAAGGTTGTAAGCCGGAGGTTTCGGAAAATGTAATCCATGGGGTCACGGGTATAGATTGTAATGGCTGCAAACAACATCCTCTATGATTGTTGTGTAACCATAAAATTTGTGATACTTTAGCCAAACTTCGATTAGAACACAATTCAGAGGTAGCCAAGAAAGCATCTGGAATCGGAACACTTAATAAAACGTCAAATCTTTGACTACAGCTTACGATTTATATTTATACCAAAGCCATCATTTGTTGAATTAGGCAACGCGTAAAATGTAATACTAGCATGTTGAGCTAATTGTTCGGTAATTTTCTGGCAAATCTTATTAATACGCCACGAATGTAAGAATGTAGCACTCACGTAATACAATGTTAACATAATCAAGTCGGTTTTTTTTTCGTTTAGTTATTTCTGACACTTTAGATTTCACTTCAACTATTAATTGAACAAGTGGAGGAGGAATGGTGACGTCTCGTGATCAGAAAGAGCTTCAAGGATATGGGAAATGATAATTTTTCAATACGATGTAAAGAGTAATTGTAAGATGGTTAATACAGGGCTGTTATAGAATGGGCAAATATATATATTTTTATGCAAATTCTTGAATTATTCAATTTCAATTATTCAATCACTAAGTCTTACTTCAAATATCTGAAAGAGTTCTGACACTGTACGCAACTAAGGTAACAATTTTGCTGTAAAATTACATTAGCTCACATTTTCTCTGTTATCTTTTCAAACCGTATTCATAACAAAAAAGTTATCGGTAATTAGAGCTCCTAGCAAAGCAATAAACTTTTAGTTATCGCTATATACGAAAAGCATTCCTAAGAAATTAAATCCACCATTGTATTGGAGTATGCATTATTTGTATTTAATTTTTTGCTATTCAACGAATGTTGGCTTTTTTATTTTGATTATTCATCTTAGAAAACCTCTGGAGTTTTCAAACGTGTAATCACAATTTCCTTAATGGCAGGGTAAATTGTTTTTAATCAATTTTTTAATTAATTTGACTTAGTTTAAAATAGTGTAATTTTGCTAAGACGGGCAATTCCTATATTTTATACTATAAATACCACACCATCAGTTTTATATTGTATTCAGTTGGCATCACTCTGTATCATGTGAGCAGAAATGCAATGTAAAGAAGGATTTACAAAGGAAACGGAAGAAAGTGAAATCCTGTTGGAGCCTCTCTGACTAACTGAAGTTATTCGGCAGACAAGCAGTTCAGTTCGGTCTACTGCTTAAAAGACAAAACAAGAAAAAGATAAATTAAAAGGGCATTTAAATTAAGGGCCCGGCAAAAGTGTCTGTCTGTGTTTACAACTCCACCGATAAGAAGAGAGATCTCTATTAGATAAGCGACGTACACACTAACAATAATAATCTTGTTATTGCAAAGTGGGTCAGTTCATAAACTAATTAAATTGATTGTAATAATAATCATCGGTTAAGACTAATACATTTTACAGTGCGCACATATCGAAGTTTGACAGTTCTTCGCGAGTATATATTGTGCTGTGTAAAGATTGTGGGGAGCCGAATGAATATCTTCACTATATTTTGGCTTCTATTGAAAATGTTTTATCAACTTTTATGTTCTTCCTTTAGTCTTCTAACTTTCATATTTAATGTTTTCTGGTTAACTTGCAATTTGGCGTCTGCTGGTATACCGTGGGTTTTGGTGTGTCTTTTGATAGTTTGTGTGGCTTCTAAATTCGTAAAACTGAAAAGTCCTGATGATAAACAATTTCTCAGATTGTTGACGATCGCTGGTCAAGGTTTATATCCAGAAGACTTATCATTTTGGCCTATAGCACATAGAGGTGCCGGCTACGATGCTCCAGAAAATTCGAAAGCCGCTTTAAAAAAGGCAAGTAAGAGGTCTGAGGTTTACATTGATATAATATGACGTTACAATAGCAATAAGGAAGGGCAGCTCGCACATTAATAAGCAATGCCATAGGAACTATAAGTTAGGTATATGTGATTGCGCGTATACCACACTTGCGTTTATATATATGAATTAGCAACCCTCTAGCTATAATTAAATAATTCTGTTAATTGAATACGACTAATTTTAGTTTAAACAAATTTTTACGTGTAGAAAAAAAAGAAAGGTTTCGAGTCGAAGGCTGACTAAACGAAACTAATAAAAAAAAAAACGAAGAACTTTTTGGTATTATTATTCTGCACTTTGAATTTTAATTAACTTATGTAGATAATAGTTAGAAACATTTGAGTTAAATTTTTATGAAACATAATTTTTGTTTACTGGCATAAATTTTAATAATTTTGATTGCAGCTCATTTTACATTGGCAGTGAAAAGCACGGAAGAAGAAATCTAACGCATTATAACAAATCATTTCTTTCACTTTCAGTGTATTACACGTGGCTATCGAAATGTTTTATTAGATGGTGGTCTAACATCTTGTGGTGAAATAGTTATTGTAAATCGTTTGACTTTAGAAAAAGCGAATCTTAGCGGCAGCATTGCCTTACATACCTTGGAATCTTTAAAGAAAGTCAACATTGCCGAACTACATCCTATGGGGTATGAAAAAAAAAAAAGGCATAAGTAAGGAAAATATAATCATTATTAAGACTTTATAAAACTACAGCGTAAATAATAATTAGTAAGCTCTTGAACTTATACGTCGGCGTTTGTGTTAAGATGAAAAAGCCTTTTCGTTTCTTTGACATGAAGGCGTATTGTTGCTGTATCTAACACAGAGGGTTTTCCAAATTTATCAAGCGTAGAGAAGAATGCTAACCCCTACATCGTACACGGAAAATAGCTTAACAGCTTTTCTTGTTGGAATCAAAGTTTTCAAATAAAGTCAATGAAATATATTCTCGTCAATTACCAAAGTCCAATCCACAATATGCAGACTAGGGTGAACAACCGCTGAAGATGTCGCTGCCGACAGGATGGTTAAGCTTCTTTTTCTTGTTTTGAATTAAATCCATTTTAGACTTAAATAGCCCAACATGGATTTTCACGGCGGTTTATATACAGAAAGGTAAGGAACGAAAATCAATCGACTAGCGTGATAAGAATTGCGAAAAAGCCACTGATGACATCCGTTATGGTTTTCCACGGTTACTGTGTGTTTCCCTTTCTAAATAGTTATTTAAAGCTTTGATGCTATACTCTTGCAAGCTATGCTACGCTTTTGCCAATGTCAAAATAACAACCGTAGTTTATTTGCTTGTTTATTTGTACAGTAAACATTTCGAACCGGAATACGTTTATACATTAAAAGAATTACTGGATTTCTTAGAAGAGCAACGGCTTACGGTTTTCCTACTCATATCGGACAATAGCTCACTTATGTTACAAAGCTTAAAAAAATCAATTAAAGAAAATCCTTTGTTTACACAACGCATTGTATTGATAACAAAATCTCCTATAACTATATACCAGGTCAGTAATTTATAATAAAGAAATTCAACTAGATTACAGCTTTTAAATATGATTTTGTACGTTACACCACTTGTGCTACAAGGGTATATTAAGCTTGTGTGGACATATGCAATACCTAGGAGGGCTTGAGATATACACATCTATTATTAGCGATTCCGAATTACTTTTTGAATCTATTTAAACTTGTCCGTCCTTCTCGTTTCCTTGTGTCTAGTTTACAGGCTGCAATTCTTTACAAAATTTGATGAAATTTGGTACACTGATGTATTTTGGCCCAAGGACGAACGCTATTGGAAATGGTTTGAATCGAACAACTCGGCCACTTCCACCATAACAGCTTAGTTTCAATTGTTATATGCATAACAGTAGGGTGGTGTAGGGTATTTAATGGTGGGCATGGCCCCACTATAGGCTTTTTACTTGTATAAATTATAGCTGCGTAAATTGTTTCCCGAGTTGATTTGCGGCTTATGGACGGAAAAATCTTTATCTCTAGCTCTATTGAAAACCTCTACTTTGATTACCTCTATATATGGGGCATTTTTTCGTAACATAATTGCTCCGGTTATAGGTATTAGCGTGGTATTTGTATCAAAAGAAGAATTCAACTTGTAAGTGAAAATTTAGAAACAATATATCTTAAATTTTTATTATGAACAATATTACTACTCTTTACAGGCATATAGCTGAATTATGGAGAAACGTCGGAGTACGACCTATAGTTTATAATGTTAATTCGCCAAACGAGAAACGTTACTTTCAGAAAACGATGAAAACTCAATATCTTACAGATTCATTGCGTTCCGAACCCCATTTATTAATGAAAGCTTAAAAGAAAAAAGCACGGATAACGATGATAATTTTCCAACGAATCAATAATGATTTACATAATTATACGTATCTATGCTTTAAATGATATTTTATAAACAATTGCAACATAAGCAACATTTTATTCAATGAACAATATTTTTATACTCGTCACAGCGCATATATTAAATTTACCAAGTATTCGCAGTCTCCAGATAACAAATATTTTCTTAATCAGTAGATATGCTAGAAACAGATCGCTAAGTCCGAGATTGATTTAGTCACATATTCTGTTTTGCTAATATTTTTTTTTCTGAGAGAAATGGACTTTAGGTTAAAGTAGTCTAAACGGGTTTTTACATTCGCTCAGTTAGGTAAGCCTTTATTTTAAGTTAAAAATTGTACTAATTCATATAAAATTATATTAAATTGTTTTCATTCATCGAACATTATTTTATTTAGCCAACTCTGACGGACTTGTTTTTTTATTGGGAATGCAGTGAGAAGTTCTAATTTGTTCTAAATGTGGTTTATTGTTATAAGGCTAATACAACAACAATTGTACATAATTTACGTACCATATCGCCACTTGTTATGTGTACAGCAGCATCCTACTTAATCCTTTGGATATCCGAATTAGCGCGATGCAGGGTATTTATTTAATGTTTTGAACCGAAAGTGAACGTCATTGTAGTCATACTTCATCTTAAACGTAAGTTTCAAACATAAAAATAATATAAATTTTTGAGGTGTCTATGGTTTGTGACTGAATGGTCAACTTGTCATGTATAAGCCTAACAAAAAAAGGAGTAATTACTCAATGGAACAATACGCGCAATTCGAAACCACGCCTTTCAACAACTAATTGATGAATTTAAAGAGATTTCACGTGCCAACCGTATTTTCTATAAAATAAGTCCCACATTAAATTTTTAACCCTTATCAGAGCCTTCCTTTAATTTCAGGGAAATAAAAATCCTTTATTAGACTTATGCTAAAGCATATTTACAAATGATTCGTGCTATATCATGTAATATTTGTAAAGCTTGTAATATTAGCCGGTCTGGCGAACGTCTAATTTTTAGATGTGGCAGGTTCGATGGTATTAGAAACTCTTTTAGGCTTTTCAATTATATGGTGTCCTCGTCGATCTCTTTGCAGCAAAAAATCTCGTGGAACTAGCTTGCTTTATTGGAAAAGCGAATTTATCTTTTTAATTCACGATAATATTTCTCTAAAATATTCCTCTCTTTCAGCCAAATTTTGTAATACTAATCTTACTTCACTTTGAACAACTCAATAATATACAATTACACTTAACGTATTGGCCTTAGCATATCATAGCCGCAGTTTATTTGTGTTTCATATATATATATTTCTTGGAGACAACTAACACTGTTTATCATCTGGACATATAAGCTACAAAAGAGTAAACGTTATTCTTCGATCCGCTAAACATATAGAATAGGGCTCTGTATAAATTTTATGAAAATTTACATCAAGCAAATATTTTCCTGATGTGTTTCCAAAATGTAAACAAAGCTAAGTACGCATTGATAAGTTACTAATGTAATTTTTAACAATAGGTGTCAAGAATAGTATAGTATACAGCAATGAAAGGAAGCAATTGCTGGATATCGAAAGCCGAATATAAATTTAGCCACTTGCTAATCACTTCGTGAGATTTCTGCTTAAAGCAAGCAATAAGCGAACGAAAAGTGTAAAATTTAGTAAAATATGACGATACGTACTTTCATTTCGACAGAGGAATCTGTTGAGTATTTACACCCCGTAGTCAGCACCGGAAACTGCACATATACACGTATGAATAGCGGAGTTCATCTGGTTTTTGATGGACGGAGAGAAAGATTCAAGTCAAATCTGTCTTCCCATCACCTTTATGCATTTCAACCCTTGTCCATAATATTAAAGTCACATTATCAAGCAAAAGATGTACATAATAATACATCGGTCGTGCCCCTCCGTTCAAAAAGATTTTTTTGTGGGTGTTCATTCTACTGTTCAAAATCATTTTGTTAACTGCACTCGTCGCGAATTTTGTATTCGAAGCGTGTGTACGTTGCGTGTTAGGAAAGAATTTATTTATACACTCATTCAAGGAATTAACTTATGCATTCACGTTACAATTAGACGCTGATCTAAATAATAGATATATGATACAATTTCTGAGGAAATACTTTTACCTTATTTTTCTAAAACATTTATTTTGTAGGCATTTATTCACTTTACCTAATCCTATGCTTCGCCTATGTGGACTATTTTAGGCGTCTAATTGTTTCCTTTCTATATCCTACACCATTTGAGCTACAGGGTATATTGAGTTAGTGCGGACGTATGTGACATGCAAAACGCTTTAAAATAGACTCACCTTTTATTATACCGATCGATTCAAAATCATAATCTGCATTGATGTACGGCTGTCTCGTCCGATGTCTGTCCATGTAATTTGTGTTGATGCGACAAATCGCAATTCTTGATAATTATTGATGAAATCCGGTACAGTGACGTATTTGATCCAAGGATGGATGTTATTGAAAATGGTTCGATTCGGTCCACTTTTTCGACCACTTCCCATATAACGCCCTATTCTGAAAAGTTATATGGAAAAAAATTGTAATTTTCCAAATTTTTCGGCACAAGTGCCTAAGTAATAGTATTTCGGCATTCTAAATTGGTACGAAAATTTTGGACCGACTGTGGCAATTTTTAAGCCACCTCTCATATAGCGAAAACTGAGGGTTCTTACGACAAATTTTCAATGTCTTACGATGAAAATTATATCATAATAGTAATGAAACTTGGTACATTGATGTGCTTTGCGCCGAGGACGAACGCTATTGTAAATTGTATTCAGATTGCACCACTTATTCAATTACTTTCCGTCCACCGTTTTATTTTGGAAAGTTATATGAACAATTGTACGGTGGTGCAAGGTATTTAATAGTGGGCCGTGGCCCCCTATAATGTTTTTGCTTGTTTTAAATTTTTTTTACATAAACTTACTTTTAGGTATAAATATATTTTGCAACACTTTTGTATTGTATCCCTTTGTGTTAAAAATGGTACTAATTAAGTTAGCCTTTGTAAACAATAACAATTATACCAAAAATAAATGCTATGCTATTAAATAATGAAAAGTTACAGTTTTATATAAAAACTAAAAAAATGATTGGAATATCTCGATTTATACTAGAATTGTACGTGATGAGTAGTGTATTGTATAACCTATACAATTCGAATCAAGTCAGCTATAGGTAGGAGGTCTCTAAATACTTCTTATAAGCAATCGTCAGGCTTATAGTAAATTTCTTGATATCTGGCACCAATGTAGGCCTCGACATTTTAACAATGATGCATCTCTTTTCTGGCTTTGGTCGTAAAATTACAAAATGCGCGTAAAATCAAATTCAGATAAGCATGTTACTAACTCAGATTCTGGAAGTTAAATCAAAATTTTATCTATAGGTTTGCTTCATTACTGCAATATAAATTAACGACGGTTTTTCTTTATGTTATTCATTTTCATTTATTGTTTATATGGATACGAAATTATAATAAGTTTTTAATTTTTTTTTCGTTTTCTTCACACATCAAAAGTTTATTACATTTCATTAAAGTTCGGCCAAACAGAAAAAAAAGATTAAAAATATTAAAGAGTCTTCTAGAAATGAATTGAATTTTTTAATCGAAATATTAAATAAAAGTTAACAAAATTACTTAAATTATTATTTGTTTAGAATGTTTTAAAGTATGACTTTCCAAGAATTATGAAACCAGGTGGTCAAAAATATCGAAAAGCCTTGATAACACTGCAAAATATGCCTAAAAGAAACGCCTCTTTAGATAGAAAAAAATATTTCGCTGAAGAGTTTTCGAAAACGTTTTTGTTTTTCTATCTATGACTTCTAGTTTAGAAAGATTCGTCGAAAAGCTAAATAATAAGTATGTATATTCATTTGTGAAGGATATTTGTATTTGTGAATACTTAGGACAATAAAGAACTCTAACAACTAGTGTAATAAAATCAACTATACCCCGTCGAGTGTTTTTAAAAGTTATTTGCGACGTGTTCGAATAGTACGCTTCGACAATAATGCTTCCGCTGGTAAGGTCACCGATGATTGCTGAAATCGGGAGGCAGCATTGCCTATTTCGTTATCCGTTGTAAATGATAATTGTTGTGCTGGTTGTTTCGCCGAGGTTTCTTTTCCCTGTGTTTTTCTCATTTCCCCAAATAATCCCGTGATTTCAGTGGCATGTTCAAAGTGTACAATTTTTCGCGCCCTAGCAGTTCGGGTGGTTCCTTTTGTTTCAGCTCCCGGCTCTCCTTGCAGGCCAGCGTCATCACTTCCAGACTTTCCCTTACGAGTGCGTTTTACAGGTATCACTGGGGCATCGTTGACTAGACCTGCTGTTCTATTACGTGCTTCTCTTTTTGTGGCTGATTTTTCTGCTTCGCTTTCAAAATTTACATAGGTAGATTCTTCGCCTATTTGTCCCTCAATATCTGCAAATTCATCGGTGCTTCCTACCGTAGAAGCGGATGCTGAACGGAAATCCCTTTTCCGCGTTGTTGCTGTTAAAATCTGCCGTTTTTCCTTTGTTGTGCTACGAGTAGAACGACATTTATCCTCATCGACTTCCGCATTAAAGTCTCTGACATCAGCGATTGGTGTTCTAGGAGCAGCTCTCTTAGCTCTGGGTTTCTTGGGTGGATCTATAGCAGCTGCTGCCAAAGCATCCTCTTCTATCCTGGCTTTTGCGGCAGCAGCAGCATTACGTTTCGGCTTATGTGCTTCAGCGATTGATGTCGGAATGGAGGCCTTTTGCTTTTCGTATTCAAATGTCGAGGACACCCCAAATTGTTCAAGGCCCGCTTTTGCTCTGCCTCGTCGTCGAGATTTAACGGCGGATAACGTTGAGGTTTCCGTAGGTGAGTTACTTGATTTTTTTATGTATTTAGTTATAATAACCGATCCCACTGATCTTTCAGATTGAACATCAGCGACAGTAGCAGGAGTTTGTTGTATGGGCCTATCATCATTAGTAGCCGTGGCGTTAAATTCGCCAACACGACCTCGGCTGCGCTTTGAGTTCTTTGGTGTGTCCGACTCTTCATTTCTCGTTTCAGTAACTGATGGCTTACGTCCCCTCCGTCCTGGCTTGCGTTGCTCTGCAGGAATGCCTGTGGACCGAACATTTCGTTTTTTAGGCGACTCAGCTTTAGCTCGTTCTTTTTCAAGGAATTGTTGGACTTTCGCGGTGGGTTTACGCATGCGACCGCGAGCTGTGGTCACCACTCCAATAGCCATCTCTATTCTTGTAACATCCTGGTTGTGTTCGGCTACAACTTCGGCCATGTTCCCGGCGAAAAGTTTTTGAGAAGTATCATGTTTTTCTTTTGTTACAGTTTGCATTTCTGTATCTGAAGTTTCATCATAGTTATGATATGCGGTAGCAGCCTTGCGTTGTGGTCTCTTCTTCACGGCAATCTTCGTCTCGACGGATGAAAATTGAACTGATTCTGTTTCTGAAACTAATTTAGCTTGATTAACACCAGGAGAGCCCGGATACTTTCGAGAAGTATCAATATACTGCGATGATCCAATTTGGCTTGACGTTTCTAAATTTTTTAACTTTTTTATTTTGAGGGTAGGCAGCTCAATTTCATCATCAGCATATTGAGATTCTTCATGTTCACGTAATTGCTTGTTATTAACTTCAGAAAAAGTTGCACCAGACTGAAATCTTACTTGTTCATCCCCAACTTTTAAGTCATTCGAAGGAGATATGATTTCGGGCATATCAATCGCAATTGAGGTCATTCCTGACATTTTCAGTTCTGCTGTTGGTTTAATATGTCTTGCTATATCTTTTAAAGGTTTTTGTTTATCTTCAGCTTTTCGTTTTCCTGTGCGTCTTTTTGTGGTCGTCGTTGAGCTACTAAAACTAAATTCTTGTTCCTCGCTTGCTTTTTGGCGAGCTTTTGCAGTGCGTGAATGACTCTGGAGTTCAATAGCATTTGTGTCTTTTTGAAGGTCAGTGTCCATAATTTCAGAAGATTCTCTTTCAGTCGCAACTCCGGTAGTACCTTTACCCAATACGTTTATAACTTCTGTAAGTTTAGATTCCAAAGGTTTGCTACGCTTGGTTCTTTGATTTGCTTCTTTAGTTTTCTCTTCATTAAGTACTCGTCGTGCTGCTCTACGACGAAGCGGCCTTTTCGATGATGTATCTAAGTTTTCGTTTATTTTGACGTCACTTTCCTTGGCTTTTTCAGAAACAATTACTGCTTTAACCTCCTGGCTGGCATTTTGATTGGGCACAACAGACAAGTCCGTTCTTAAATTTTCATTTGGGATTTGCCGTTCTGTAAATTCCTTTTCATCTGATCTGCTCTCATCTATTACCTCCGAATCTGTCTTAATATTGTCTTCCTTGTGGAAGTCTTGGTTATACTTTCTTTCTCGTATGGGCGGATCGTCGACATTTGTTATTGAACTGTGACTGGAGTCCGGCGCATTGCGACGTTGAAGTTCTCGCTTTCTAGGGGTTTTTTGCACTTCCTTCATCTCATGATAACTAACTTCAATATCCGAAGGTCGAACTGGTGACGGGTGGGTTGGTTGGTGTTTTGAAGCTTTTTGGATTTCCGCAGGTCTTAGTGTTACCATTGTCAGATCGGTGGACACGTATTGAATGTCCTGCACTGGAGTTTGACTGTGTAAAGCTGCCGGCTCTTGGGCAGAAGCTCCTGCCATATGAGCAATATTAAAGGAAAGCATTTCAGTATAGTCTGAACATTTTTTATTCCGTTTGGGTTCAGAAATTGCGAAACGTTCATGTTCTTCCTTAATCATAGACATATTTTTTACAGTTGTTATTGTGGACAATTCTTTTACTAGTGCATGTTCAACGTCTTTTATTTCAGGCGCTTTTTCTCTTAGGAGTTTCGAAAATGACAGTTCTTTAGCTTCTGCTTGCTCTGTTATGCGTTCTTCCAAAGAGGTTTGCAACATTTTTCGACGTGTTTTATGGGTAGTAGGGAGATTTGCGTCATTATTTTCGAAAGTGGAACCTTGGCTAGATTCAGACGTGGTAAATTTACGATAAACACGTTTAGCGCTCGACAGCAGTTTAGAGTTTTGTTCATTTTCAGACTGCATATGCAATTGCTCTTGCGGGGCGAGCGCTGGTCGGCAGACAGCGCGATTTGTGGAAACCAAATCAGGGTTACCATCCGAACATTCACTGAATTGAAATCCTTTGAGCGCTTTAGCTTCATCTTTAGTGCGGCTTTCTTCTGTTTGTTTAATTGAAGTACTGCTTTTTTTTTCAAAGTCATTATCAATAACCACGACCTCACATATGCCCGATTTCAACGCACCGATTACTGAAGTATTTTCCTTGTATATGAAGGGTTTGTCTGCTTTGGTTTGTTTCTCTGAGTGAGTTTTTTCACAATCAAGCGATTCGCTTTGATTGATTACTTTTAATTTTGTAATCTCTTCTATTTCCGGCTTTTTCTGTGCACTCTTTTTAATCTTTTGTATAGTAATTATTTCATGCTTTAAATTCCCTCCAGTTTTAGTTTCTTCAACTTCGTTGAATGGCGGAGTTGACGAGTTTAATATTTTTGATCCACTTTCTTTGTGAGCTTCGGCAATTTCGATGATTTCCGTTAAATTTTCAGCTTCATTTATTTCTGACGAAAATGTTAGCTTTTGAGAATTTGAAAGTTCTGCTCCTTCCGTAGAGGACATTTCAACAATGCCTACAGCATTATCTGAGACCCCCTGATCCAAGTTGCGCCTCCTATACTCCAACGACTTAGTAGATTCTAATACCTCTGTTATTTCAACATCTGTTAATAAAGCTTCCCCAGCTTGAATACTTGGAATATTCAGATTTCCGACTATAAATTCCTCTTGTGGTTTACTAGCAATCTCTGCTTTTTCAGTTACGACATATGCTTTAGCAATTTCATTTTCTTCTGTAAATTTACTCTTTACTATAAACTCTTCTTTTATGTTTGTGATATGTGATGTACGATTAATTCCTGTATTTTCTATTACTTCAGCTGACATTCCTGCATCGTCTAAATATTCTCTCATCCTTTGAACGCGTTCACCCGTTCTTTTCTTTAGAAGCACTTCTGTTGAGACAGTCTCTTCGGTGGCTTCATCCAAAGACTCAAACTGTTGCTCATCCACTTCTATAACCGCAGTTTTACATATTTGCGGTTCATTTGGAGCCTTCGACTTTTCTAAGAAGTCCGCATTGTCAATATTAGTAGTGTTTTCTAAAACTTTATCACCGCGAACTTTTCCTGGCAATTCTACAATCGAAAGTACTTTATCTGCTTTGTCCGAGATCGAAATTTCTGCTTTAGACAAAGAATTTGCTAAAAAATCTTCATCCAGTTTATTAGAAACATCTTGTTGCGCCTCTAGCGACTCCGCAAACCTTTCCTTTTCTTTTAGAAAAACTTTATTGTCCGATGGACTTTCAAAACTCGTCTCCACTTTAAGTAACTCAACATTTTTTGCATCAATAAAACGCTTTTCCTCTTTTTCACTTATCTTACACATTTTTGAGATTAACAGTGCTTTGCTTGAAACTTCTTGTTCAAATTCTCTGGGCACGATTTTTTCCGCAAATTCACTCTCAAATATACGCCCATCTGTCATGGTGTTGACATGTTGTGAAAGAGCAGCTCCTGTTTCTTCGATTGTTTCATTGTTTTCTAAATGTTCGACTTCCTTTTGACCGCTTTCATTATTTTTTTTCGTTGAAATCACTTCTCTCGACGCACCTCTTTCAGCACATTCACTCAAACTTCCAAATTTTTGCTTTTCCACGAATAATTTTTGATATTCTTCATCTTTAATGTTCACAATATTTTCGATTTCTATGGCTTTTGCCTCTACAATTCCTTTCCCAAAGCTAGTGCTTAAAACAAATCCCTGTTGTGCAGCTTCTACTTTTCCGGGACTTGTTACGCTAGTAGCAGCAGGCAGCATAAAAATACTATTCGTTCCTTCGTGATTTTTAGTACAATCAACCTTGACTTCTGAATATCTCTTTAATAACAAACTTTCTTCTACCTTTGATTGGCTTGGTTCAAGGAAAGTTTTATTGTGTGTAAAGCTTACTTCAGGAAGAGCGGAATGATTAGGGTGTTTTTCTTTTTCTTGCGAAAGTGGTTTATGTAAGGCCTGCAATGTATTCACGCTAACGGTTTTAGGAGATATTATTAGATCAGTAATTGGTATTGCAATTTTCTGTTTTTCTTCTAAATGTTGAAGTTTCGAATCCGCTGGGAAATCCACACGTTTGGTGTTTTCAAATCCTTGTAGAAGTTGTGCGCAGTGAGCTTCTTCAACTAATTCCGCATCTGCTTTGGCGGAATTCGGGCTATCTATTTTAGATGTGTTTTCCAAAAATTCCGCATTGGTCTTTCCCCTCCCGTTTGCTTTAATACAAAACCCTGCTTCTATTTCTATCTGGCCCGCAGTTATTTCCACTGTTACATTTTTTTGAACAGGAATATTACTGTCATCTTCCGCTAAAGTTCGTTCAAATACTGCGGCAGCGTTCACTGTTTTAAGTTCTTTTTCTTCAAAGGAGCATTTGCGATTTACCACAATCGACTCCTTTTTACTCGAAACTTCTTCTTCTATAAATGCTGATGAAATTGAAACACAATCGACTCTCTCTTTCTCTCCGTCTGGGTGAAGACCCATTTCCTCCATACTCTCTTTTGTCAAAGTGGTAGTCTTATCTAACAATTCACATCCCGTCCGATTAGGGCTGCTTTCATGCAACAGACTGAAATCCTCGTTGTCCGTTACCATTAAGGGCTCCGACAGCCGATTCGCTTCATCATCATCTATAGTTTGCAAATTAAATGAAGAAACTTGTTCGTCTCTTTTAGAGTCCATTGCCTGCTCATCGCTCATAGAGTCTGTAGTCTTATCAAGTAAATGGATGCCACTAATATCTCCTTTAGAATCAAGCGAGGCTGAGGAACATTCACGGTTATTGGCAAATCCTACGATACTTGTACCAGCCAAAGGATCGGTAAGGTCTCTCTGTGATGTGGAGCTTATATCGAGCATTACATCTGAAGTAGCGGTTACATCCATTACACTTTCTGTGATTGGTAAATATAAGCTGGCATATGAGCAAGCGACACCGGATATCATGTCTTTAGTTGACAAATCCTCGTTTGGATTTACTTGATAGCCGTGTTTCAGCACGTCGTTCGATGTTTCAGCCTTTTTCGCAGATTCGACCCGCTCTTTAACGTTACTTCTGGATAAATCCGATAAGATGTCAGACGCTGAGAAAAGTGATTTTTGAGTTGGTATTTGAGCAATTAATGATCTCCGGTCTGCAACGGTGCTTATCGGTGTGCAAATTTTAATTTCCTGCACATTCTCCTCAAATAGTTTTTTTGATGATTCATGGTTGTGTGGTTTCATTTCAAAATTTTCTTTCATATTTTTAATGTTATTAGATGATTCACGTTGTTCTACCTGTTCCTCATCTTCTTCAAAATAAGAACCTATTAAGCACGAACCTGAAGCAGGCGTTTTAAAAAGATCATCTAAAAGTGCATTATCATTTTTACTAATACTGAAATCACATTCAGCTTCATGTATTTCCGCGAAATTGCTGCTTTTTCCTACGACGGACTTTAAAGGCAAACCAGCTATCATAAGATTTTTAGCTCGTGGCGTTACTAAAAATTTATCAAAATTTTTGTCCATTGCAGGATTCTGATAAGTTTCAGCATTGTCTATAGTCACTGATTTCACATTTTTCTCGAAAGTGTCCATTGGTTCTTTAAGATCACTTAATGGTATATTTATTTGCTCACGGATATCACTGGAATGAACTGTTCTAAAAGAAGCAGGAGTTGTCAATAATTGCTTTACTTCGTTCAAACTTTCTAAAAATTCCCTTGAAGTACAGGGTAATTCTTCATTATTGTTCGAGTTTGTTGGTGTTCGTTTTTTCAAGAGGTTCGCAATGACCGGCACATTTTTTATGTCTGATGGGACACTTTCCAATTCCTTTTCATGATTGTTTGCGGCTTCAGGCTCATCTTTGTATACTTCTTCGGATTTGTTATTCGAATGTATTAACGTCCCTGTTTCGGCATTAAAAGCTGAAAAAGCAATGGCATTTATTTCGCTTCTTAAATAATGTTCAGAAATTGTATCTTACATTCATCCAATTCGTTTCCGTATCCATAATCAGAGTTATCCAGAACTTCAGAATTCTTGGTTAAAATTTCCTCGACAACATGCTCAGGTTCACCTAACCGTCATAAAGTGAAACACAAAAAGACAAGTTTTGGTTAAAAAATTTTGTTATGTTATAATTTTATATAGTTACCCGAAGATTTTCCAGTATCCGCGGCTGATTGTTGCTTCTCCATGTCTTTCACATTAACTACAAAATTAATTAAAAAGGAATTGTATTGTGATTTTCTGAGATCTTTCTTTTGAAATACCTCGATTAATGGCCTTAGCATCCAGAGCAAAATTTTCGACGGTTTCATCAAGGATATCGCATATGACTTCTTCTGATGTACAAATAGTTTCATCAATTAGGGCGGAAGATTCTGGAAAAATGTCGTAAAAAAATGTCACTTTGTCAAATGTTTTCACCACACCTTAGTTTACCTTTTATTACATGATTTTTTTCTTTTTCGGCATTCTGATCATTTCCTACATTTTCATTTTCTCCTACAACAGCACCCATGTCCTCAAGTGGGATGTTGAGATGTTCCACATTGAAAAACTCCTGAGCAGTATCCGCTCGTGAAATTTGTAGATTTGCTACTGTTTTCTCGTCGTCTAGTGACATTGATAATCTTCTGGTATTGATGCGTGGATTGAGCAATAATTCATTTATGATAGTACAAGAAGCTCGGCGATTCCTCTGTGTGTTGGAAGTCAACCCTGCAGAGTTTTTAAGAGACAAAGATGCACGTATGACACCGCGTCTTGAAGTAAATGCTGTTAACTGGGTTTTATCAGCGTTTTCATTAAGATGTAAAGATAAAGGGCTTAAAATTCTAGCTTCCGCGACAGATGACGCAGCAAAACTCTGTATTTCTGATGTTTTAGAAGTATTTTCTGCCGCTAAAATGGTTTCAATTTTTTTTGGTTTTTCCTTAGCAGTTGCCGGTGACATAGAAAACATGATTTCCATACGGCTTTCAGATATGTTTCCCATACAGCCTTCCATTGAAAATGGCACAATTTCACTTTGCTCTTTTTCTTCACAGACACGTAATCGTGTTGAAGAAAGTAATTCAGTCTTACATTTGCCTGCAAAGCTTGCTTGATCTTGATTATTATCCAATAAAGAAATCACTGACATTGTTTCTTGCAATTCCTGATTATCAATTGATGTAAGTGATTTTTTGGAAGCAAGTTTAGTTGAAGAAATGAGTTCATTTTTCTCTAATTCTTTACCTGCTACAGCAGATGGTGACTTTTCTACTTGGATGGACTTAGACTCTAAATGCTTTTGTTGAAATTCGTCGGATTTATTTAAAACAATTTCAATCTCTTGTAACAATAATTTGCTTGCATCCTCCATTCCCATGGATAATTGCGCACTCTCTTCAGCTTCAATGTGTTCATGTGAATTTTCTATGTCCTTGTCGACATGTCGATTAGCCAAATACTTTTCAATTTTATTTATCGGGTCACAGTTTTTCTCAGAATAGTTTTCTATTGATTCATTACCAATTTCATCTACAATCACAATATCTCCCTTTTCGTTTGCGGAGGCCAAAGTTTGCCAACTGCTCTCATTTCTAATTAACCTAAAATTCGCGTTTACTTCAGCTACCTGCTCTCTTGAAGGCATCACTTTAGATATTTGATTATCAGTGGTACAATTATTTGATTGTTCCTTTAGTTCTTCATTCTGCAATTTCTCGACTTTTTCATTGGTCTGCTCTGATATAATTACTTTCAAATTTTTTATTTTCTCAAAGCAATTCCTTGCTGGTGGACTGGCTTTTTTTAATTTCATATTATGCGCCTCATCAGTGTTATTTGAATCAATTATGAAAGTACGGCTCAATTCATCACTGCTATTATTGACATTTTTCTCAGTGTTACTGATTAATAAAGTTTTTTCAAAAATATCTGGTAGCGCTCGTTTTCTATCGCGGGTACTTAGAGATTTATTATTCAGTGATTTACGAGCGCGCAACACTAAACGCTCGCTTAAATAAGTTTGAGAAGACTTTTTTTTGTTTGAAATGAATTTTGCAGTAAAGTTATTGTTTGTAAGTTGAGCGCGTTGTGTAGCCTTAATAAAATTATGCGCCTTATATGAAGGCAATCTTTCCCTCGTCATCGAGCAAATTTTTGTAGCAACTAATGGTGTTGACGTGCCACTTAGAGGATTAAATATAGATTTTCTAGCTCCTTGAGATGTGGAGGCTATACAATTGTCCAAATCATGATCAGATGTAATAACATTTTTACGAGAGGGCGTGCTTAGACAACTTCGGGCTAGTAATTTTGCATTGAAACTTCTTTTCGGTTCAACACTTTTCGGATTCACAACATAGAGTGCATTGCCATGCACGCTCCGATCTGGTGTTACATTGTTAATGTTATTTCGAGTTGTGTAGGCTTGTTTTTTGGCACTGGATTGCAAAACTCTTCTTATTAAGGATTGAGTAGTTCTTTTGGGTGTATGTAGGTGGTCCACATCGTTTGTGCGTTTTGAGGTAGTTTTTTTAGATATTCTTGGGGATGACACGCCGGGAGTAGCTTCTACTATGCTTGAGTTGTCCGTGGAACTAACAGTTATAACTGAAGTCACTGAATCTAGTGTAGCCGGTGAGTCCTCTTCGCTGTCGTTGCTCAAAGGCGTAAAATGTAAAACGGCGACACCCTTGATGTCAGTGCTCACATCCTTACCCGACTCCTGCATCAAATATTTTTTTAATGCCGGTGCTTTCAAATGCGAGTTCGTTTTTTTGGGTGTGGCAGTCAAGTCCACTAAATGCATAGTAGTATTTTGATTACTAGCAGCCACTGGGTTCATTAGAGTTGCATTCTTAGATGTGGATGGTGTACAAAAGCCAATCAAATCCTTAACGCTTTTCGGAGTGCCGCAACCACTTCTGGATTTATATAAACTAGTAAACGATTTCTCAATGCATACACCTGTCTGGCGCGGGGAATACGAAGTAATTAAGACATCTGATTGTCGGCACATAGCCAACAGACGTTTATTTTCTTGCGTACTTTTATTTACTTTGTTTTCCGTGCACATTATTAAGTCCATTCTGGGATTTTCCTCCGCGACAATAGGAGATTTTTGAAGTAAATGTTGAATGCGCGATTCATTATCGAGCTTTTCAAGATTTTCATTCTTTTTAGATGATGCTCCTACTTCTTGTCCTTTCTGTTGATCCGTTTCATCTTGTCCTTGGTCGGACACATTGCCAGTTTCGAATGGATCCGCTTCAGCATTGCGCTCCCCACAAGACTGTATGCAGTGAACGAAACTTTTAAAAGAACATTTCATTAAAGACCTCATTTTCTCATAAGTGTATTGTATTCAAGTTATGATTTGAAAAAAAACAATTGAAAGGCAATGACAAATTTTTCATAAGATACTTGATCGACGTTAAATTTCTTCTGACTTTTTGAAAAAAAGTTTATATATTTCATGCACGCGGCATTCAAGCCTGATATTATGGACGATACAATTTAAAAATTGGATATTATCGTGTTTTGAACGAAATAAGAAACATGTGACAAAGTCAAAAAAAAAAAAATTTTGTTAAAGCCGTAGAACGCGTCTTGATGGGAAACTTGAATACTAAAAAATGACTGAAAATAAAATAATTTCTGGGCTTATTGTGACTTTCAAAATTTTTCCACGCTTTGCGCTCACGTAATATATGCCACTTACTAATGAACTAATGAATTACAAGTTACGATTAAATCAGCCCATAGCCTCTTTTATGAAGTATCTACGATTAGTACAAAGTCTTCCCATTATAGCCAAAAAAATTGAAAATTTTTCTTTTAATTCTACTTACTTGTGTATAGTCAAACGTTTTGTCACTTCGCGATGTGGCTGAAATTATTTAAGAGAATAGATGTAGTTAGTAAAATAAAGTTAACACATAACGAAGGTAAGACGTCTGAAAAATAATTCGTTGAAGTTGTATGAAAATGAAAAATAATAACTACGTACTCATACCAATATAAAAAGTTGTAAAAGGATTTTTTTTAATTACGGGCATGTCAGCTGGTCGATGGAAATCAATTTTTGTTCTGGTTTTTTAAAAAACATTTTCCCCACCTTTCATTTCAATATTTCTTATAGTCCAGAAGTAACGACTTTTGGAACGCTGTGAACAGAGGCGTGAGCCCTTCATTTTTTGCCCTCAGGAATCAAGAATGTTAAAGTTCAAGTATATCAATTTTTCCGCACGTAAGCGTTTCAACAAATTATAATAGGCAGTTCAGCGGACAGCTGAGCGACAAGAATATTTTATGATAATGGAACGTTTTCTCGCAACAGAACGGACCTGAATATACATCATATTGAATTTCTTACTGCAAATCTGGCCAAGATGCTTATGTCAATCATTGTACTTTACATCATTTGTTGTGCAGGATATATTGTTTTTGCGGATATATGAAACACACAGTATCTATTTGGTACACTAATGCGTTTTGGACCAAGGCGATCTCAATTGAAAATGAAATTCATCTATGCAGCAGTCGTCATAAGCAAACAATTATCAACTTTCAAAATTGCTCGAAAAAATTGCCGAGTAATAGTATTTCGGGATTATAAATTGATGTGAAAAATTTATATCGAATGGGCTCATGCTTTGAACCCCATTTTATATAACGATTCTTACCTTTATGTGGGAAAGCGATCTAATTTCTGATATTTCAGAAATGGGCTAAATTGATCAGAGCAGAACCCCGAAGTGGAACATAAACTAAACGCAACTTCGTTTTCCTTAACAAAAATTTTGGGCTTTTGCCTGTTGCTCGGAAATTATTAAAGTTAGAAGAGTGATATGTTCTACATTTACTTTAGGAAACAATCTACTCCAAGTCCAAAAATGCACGCTATGTATGGGCAATGCGCACACAAAGTTACACGTAATTAAACATTGCTTTTTGCAATTTAGTGAGATTTTATGCTTATTTATCACAAAGAACTTGCGACAGAATGTTTAAAACAATTTTGTACACTCCTTAAATGAAGATATATTATCTCCCTAAAAATGGGACAATTTTAAAATGAGTACGGTAGACCCCGCGATAGCGACATGGGTGTGAAATAAAAGAACTCGCAGAGTAGAATGTGAAAAGCCTAGTGGTGGGTATGCGACCCCCATCGGATATAACTTTCTTGATTGTTTTGAACTCACTCTGTATAAGAGTATACATTAAAAAGTACGCCTCTATATTGCACAACGGTCTACAATTTAGTATTTTATAATAAAAATATCGGGCTAATGATGTCAATTAATGCGAATTCATTCAGTCCACTTAGTATCAAATAGCGTCGTTCGTCTTTTTGAAAGGCACCGCCAAAACTATGCTTTTACTTAGGAACTAAGTATAATTTTCGGTAATTATCCCAAAAAGAAATGGCGGACTGCATTGAAGGATATGCTATACGCTCGATCGTAAAGTTTGAGCCTGTTTTAACATTAAATTAACCATTTTATTGGAGATTTGTGCCATTTGTTTGAAACTTTGCGCTATATATTATACGGGTATATTTTCACAATGTTTGGGTTCACCGCGATCCAAAAATATGAATTTAATTTTTGCCTTCCCCCTTTCATTATATTGTACATACATGTAAAAGATAATCATTAATGCAAAAGTTAGTGTACACGCCAGTACTCATTGCTTTACTGCTATTTTTTAAAGATACGTTTTGTACCGTTTTTGCTACTACAGATTTACGATGCGAAAGCAAACGTTAGTGAATCGCAGTCATTCAAGACATCAGGTTAGGTGAATTTTTTTTTTTTTCTGAAGATTGTCGAGTTTTAAACAAACTTCATTTAAGTAAAGTTTACCTTCAAGTCTGGACATGAATTGGCTGACTGTTCGGGCACGCCAATTTGACGGTGTGGCGTACTGGTAATCTTTTGCATCGAAATATCTTCATTTGCAATGTTGATACATGATTGAAATTCCCATTCAAAGAGCGTGTCTAAAATTAATAGCTTCGAACCACTTAATAAAGTACGTTTAATACTAATCGGAAAGCCATTCAGATGGACGGGATACTCTTCGCAAAAATTGTGGATGAATACCTAAAAAGAATATAAAACCAAAATCGAAAATTAGAAAAAAAATCGAATTTGACAAATTCGCTCATAAATATATAATAAAATATAAAACCTACCCTGCCTAAAGCATCACATTCAATTTCGCAATGCACTCCCTTGGCTCTGGGATCAGTCAGCACATAATCGCAGCTCATGTAATAGCCCAATGTCAATTTGCGGCCATTTGCCACAATAGTTTCGCATTGATTACCTGCCTCATCAAGGCGTATCAATTTAGCGCTTTCTAACGACATTGGGGTAGGCGGGCTGTATTTTAGTGTCCCTTCACTTTTTCGTAAAACTAAGTCTTTTCTTTTACCAATATTTTCGGTTTCCTTTACCTTTTTTCGAATTCACAGACTGCTATGCAGGCGCTGTTGTAATCCATGCACGCATAGTGAACGACGTTTGTTTGTCGGTGGTCGTTTTTTCATTCCAATCAAAACCGTAAAAAATTTTCCTGTATAGATTTTTTTTTTTTTTTTATGTTAACTTCACCGGGTTTCTCTTTGTTATTTAGAAACTGTAAAATTAAATTTTTCCATATACCTATTATTCAGCGAATATTCGATGAATATTTCCTCAATTTCTTCAGTAATTACTACTTATTATAATAAACAACAAATTTTCGCCGACTATGCTAGCATTGGAATTTGCTTTCCTTTTTTTCGATAAAAGGGACGCGGCAGCTCTTATGATAATGCCTACTCGCTTATTTTCGTTTAAAACAGAGTTGTAATAAAACATCATCTCAGCTTTGCTTATATATAAAAAATAATATCAAACACATTTAATAAAACCACACATAACGTAAAATTACAGCTTCTTCAAAGCCACCCGTTTGTAAAATCGGAAAACACTCTTCTAAAGTTTAAAATGCAATTCTGTACTCATTCTATGCTAATTGTTTTGCCTTAGAGATTGATACAATGGTCAAACACATTGATGCGCTATTCCTCTTTTCGGGGTGGGATTTTAATTTAGCCGACTTTTTATAAGACGTTGCGGAGTGTGTAAATCATATGTAAGTCATAATTTTGCTCGTATAAATGCAATTGAACCAGAAAGAAAAAAAGGACAAAAAGAATAAAGACAATTTGGTTTAAAATTGAACAATTTAAAATTACAATTTTTGCTTATATTTTGTGTTCTTTTATAAGGAATGAAAAGGAAGGATTTAATTTGATTTTTCAAAATTCTAAATATACCTGTCAAATTCATATACTTAAACAATTTTTTTCTTTGTTTTACTGTGCCAGTGAAGTCCTGCTCCATGTTCCACACATTTTTTGTTGTCGATTCCTTTTAGTTCTTCTCATATGATGCGTTTTTGTTTATACTTAGATCAGCTCCCTTATTTTTTCTTAAAAAATAATATGGCAACGCAGCTCCTAATTGTGTTTCGCCTCGGACTTATTAATCCGCAAAATGGAATAACGCATCATCGCGTCAAACCCTAAATCTGCCCCACTTCAAATTGTTAATTTTTTCTCTTAGGCTGTTAACAAAATGAAGCTTTGCTTTGTTTTTGGATCTGGGAATAAAAGTTGAACATACATAACAATGAACCAATGTGAACGACTACAATGAAATTGCGCACGCAGAAGCATTGCTCAAATTTTTAAGAACCTACATGGAAAATGGCAATTCATAGGGCTTGCCTTCTTTTTTTTTCTGATTTAGATGCATGGGTTAAAGCTGTTCGCTATAAGAACAATATGTCCAATAGTACGATGAATTTATATTACTTGTTGATGTTTTTCTACATAAATAATAGAAGCACTATAGATGATGTTTGAAGAGAATTGATGATGCTGGTTTCCGTTAGGAGGGAAAGATGTAGTGATTCTCAGTATTGTCCGTTTCGGAGTTATTTCCAGAAGATTGTTTACAAACTTTAGCCGGTTTAGTATATTAAATAGGCAAATGAGAAATAAGCAAAAAAACAGAGGACAAATAACTAGCAATATTTAAAATTGAAAAGTTGAATTATTTGAAATTTGGGTTTGTGAATTATATTTAGTACCAACCAGTTGGCATGAATATTTGCGAGGATCATTTAGGGGGCTGATACAATGAGAGGTTATTCCTACTTTCAGGTTGGGACTTCAACTTTGCCAGCTTCTTGCCAAGCTTTCTGGGAGATGACAAATGATGTGGTAATGCATGTATACATACAAATAAAACAAAAAGAGAAAAAAGCACGAAAAGGAATTGTGGCTGTTTCTTATAAATTTTAAACTTGTTTATCTAATTTATGTTCATCATAAACAAATGCACTTTTTTTGTATTATGTGATTTGCAATTTTTTTTTTGCAATTATTTAGTAGAAAATGAAAGAGAATGCACACACAACACCGGCACAGCAGCGAATCTTATGTATTTATAAGTATTTCTTATGTATTATGTATGTATATTATGTATAAGCGGGCTCTATATATTTATTTATTATAATTGTGAATATTATTATAGTTTTAAGTTAAGTTAAACAATGGTAAAGCATTAACCATTCGCATTTCATTCACACTTGATACAACACGTCATCTCCGCAAACGGCAGCTGGATAATTTTTGTGTTTACCGGTGTTAGTGAAAAAAAAAAAAAAAAAAAAGAAAGAGATTTTAAATATTTGAAAAAAAGAAAAAAGAGGTTTTAATAAAGTAATAAAATAGCCAAAGAAAACAATTTTAAAGAAGGAAAAGGAGGGAAGGAGGAGGAATCTCTCGTGAGAGAAAAATTAAGAAGCAATACATATATTCAATTATTATTTTTTGTTTTTTCTTTGTGATTTTTTCTTTTTGTGTTCCCTATGATAACAACCAAAACAACATCAGCCCCTCTCCCTATGGAGACTGGGTCTGATCTTATAACTACTAATAGAGACTGTTTTGAAAATTTTTACATGAACGCCACTGGGCAAGAGATCGAAAATGGGTGAGAATAATATTCTTTTATCTGATAACGGAGAAGCTAACGCAAACGTTTTAATTCCGCCTAGTAAACAGGCTACCGACAAGCCCTCTGATTTGGATGCCACAGCCGCCCCAAATCTCGAGATTAATTTGTACGATTGCCTTTCCAACTGCAATTTTGTCGTTTTTGTCGAAACGTGCGCGGACGCAGAAGGAAATCGCATCAATATTAACTCCAATCTCTATTTCTATGATTACTTGAAGGATTCCGGTATGTACGGCTTACTAGAATTAAAAGTTGTCAGCAGGGGTAGAGCCAAACTGCTTTTCAGCTCCGCTGCCAATGCCAACAATTTTGTTAAGAATAATGAATTTAATAAAAAGAATTTAAAAGCGTACATACCGAGGTTGTTCACTGAGAGATTTGGGGTTATTCGAAACATCCCATGCACATATAGTGTCGATGATATAATTAAAAACGCCGTATCCGATATTCCGATTAAGTCCGCTGTCCGTTTCCAAAGAAGAAATCCCAACAACAAAGACGAGTGGATTCCCACAACCAGCATCAAAGTTGGCTTCAAAGGGAGAGCCCTCCCTAAGGCAATAAAATTTAACTATTGTAATCTGCCGGTCGAATACTTTATACCCACTTTAAAGCAGTGCTTTAAGTGTGGCAGATACGGTCACGTATCTAAATTCTGCAAAGCCAAAGAGAGCAGGTGCCTTAACTGTGGAAAGTCTCCGAAGTGTATAAATTGTGAGGCGATGAAGTGCTTGTCCTGTGGCTCAGGTGAGCACAACGCTCTCAATAAGTGTTGCCCTAATAGGGAAATTGAATTAAACATCAACAGGATAATGGCGATTAAAAATCTTTCGTATAAAGAGGTCAAAGAGAATTTTTCCGAAAATTATTTCGAATGTCTCGATGACATCACCTATGACGACAATTTCCCTCCACTGGGGAACACGTCTGTAATTTCGACCAAGGATGATAATCAAAATGCCAACAAAATCTTAACCAAAAATAAATACAATGCTGTCGTCAAAAGGAAATTGATTCCCTCCAAATCTCTTATCAATTCACCCACCAAGCCTTCTCCCAATACACCCCCCAAGTCGTCTGGAAAAAGCCTTCTTGGACCGAAAATTTCAAACAACTATTTGCGGTCTTCAGAACTTGAAACATTAATTCTCGCGATTCAAGAAGTATCCGTCCGATGATCCCTCATAATCTTATTAATGAATTTGAAGAAAAAATGTCTGTCTGTGCCATTTCTTGCCCCGTTCAAACACCCAGTACTGCGAGGAAATCCGCTGGGATTCTTTCTCAATTTTTAACATGATATACTTTTTACAATATAATATTCAAAGTGACCAACGTAACCTATCGTTTTTGGATTTTTACTTACACTCAGACAAGATTGATTTTTGTATCTTAAGTGAAGTTTTTCTGAAAGATGAAAATTGTTTCGAAGTTAAAGCTTCGAATTATGCCTCAGCCACCAAATGCCGAAATGATGGCTATGGTGGTGTTAGTGTATTAGTTAAGAAAGGTGTCAATTTCAGACGTATTCCCTATAACTCTGCCGTTGACATCATCATCAGCAAAACCATCAACCTGAAACCGAATCTTTTCATAGCCTCATGCTACTTTCTACCCAGTCTCGATGTGCAAACCTTTCGTGATGAGATTCAGAGATTATGCGACTTTCTTGACGGTGAACAAAATATGATTCTAACTGGAGATTTCAATGCAAGACACCGCCTGTATGGCAAAACCCTTGTAAATGCCATCAATTCCAGCAGTTTCAATGTCTTAAATAACGGCAATACTACATTTCACTGTAACCGGAGCGGTCGCACGACGAGCAGTGTCTTGGATCTAAGTTTCTCGAACTCAACTATTTTATCTTTCAACTGGAACACGTGCAATGTTTCCATTGGCAAAAGTCAGCACTCCCCCATTATATTCCACAGTTGTAACAATTCCGTCAAGAAAATAGAAAATTTCATTTCACGCAACTTCCTTATGGACCGTCTGTCTAAAGTTGATCTTCCTTCTGATTTATCATCAATTCAAAATGCCTTTCAGTCTGTGATCATGTCTGCTAGAACCAACTTTCCTGACATTGAGTCCTTCTCACCTAAACCTTGGTGGAAGTCTTCCATGTCAACACTTTTCCGCAAATACCAAGCTGAGAGAAAAAAAATGAATAAATATGCCAATCCAGCCAACTACATTGAATATATGAAAACACTGAAGTAATGGAGGTCTGCAGTTAGAAAGGTGAAAAGGACACATAGAGCTATTGCGATTAAAAATTTATGTGGCAACGCAACCCACGTTCTTTCTGTAATTATATCAATGGTCATTGACATTCTAGTCGAAAATTAAGCGGTTGTGCTGTATGGAATGACCATGATAATAAAAAATACGTGGATATGCTCAAGAGCTATATTCCAAATGTCAATCCGATTACCATACCTTCAATTCCTTGTAGTAGTATCAGTAACACACCCTTTTCATTGCATGAGCTAATGTATGTTTTACATTCCAGAAAGAGAGCTACTGCTGCAGGTCGTGATGCACTCAACTATGACATGCTCATACCAGTATTTGGAGGAAGCTTTAGCATTCTTTTGCATGCAATTAACAACTGCTGGTCCACCAACTTTATACCCTCTGATTTGCGTTGCAACAAAATAGTTCTCATTCCTAAGGCAGGTAAAGACTCGGACCAATTTCACTGATATCTGTATTCATAAAGACTATCAACCTCATGGTTAGGGAGAGACTAACTGCTTTCCTGAAAACTGAGA